TGTGTGTGCCTTTATTGTAAAGTGACAAAATAACAACAATGAAAATGCACTTTGGTGAAAATCTCCGAAACTGAACTTGGGTGACTTTGGTGTAGGCCAACGATATAAACTTTAGGTGGGTACAGTCTGTTGACAACAGCGAGACCAAGTAAATGCAAGAATGGACAAATATGTACAACTATAAAGTGTGTGAGTGTTTATATATCTGCATGTGCTTTTATATATGGTTATATTTGTCTGGCCGAGTGGTTAAAAATGGCATGCTCTAATTCAGGAGACCCAGGTTTCAATCTTTGGCATTGTGATGGATATTTGTATATTCTATCACTAGAAGAAAAAACCTGAACAGAAGTTCATGCTGACAGCTAACCATGAGGCCCTAAGTCAGCGCTGTTCTACTTAAGTTTACTCAGGGGCCACAACTTTGAAAATGGGGATCATCATGGGCTAGAAGCTCGAGCTCAAGCCTAGGAAGCTCTTTGAAACAATACAACTGGCAGTGATCTGTAGGCCACTTGATAAACCTCTGTGGGCCACTTGCTAGACCTCCGTGGGCCACTTGCTAGACCTCAGTGGGCCACTTGCTAGACCTCCGTGGGCCACTTGCTAGACCTTCGTGGGCCACTTGCTAGACCTCCGTGGGCCACTTGCTAGACCTCTGTGGGCCACTTGCTAGACCTCTGTGGGCCACTTGCTAGACCTCCATGGGCCACTTGCTAGACCTCCATGGGCCAGATTTAGCCCACGGGCCACACTGAATAGCCCTGCCCTAAGTCCTCAGGCTAAAAGAACCTTCCCACTTCTAAACCGTCCTAAGAAGTGGCTAAAAGAAGGGCACTGAGATTGTTTTTTTTTTTTTAAAACAAGTATCTTAAGATAGTTTTTTCTTTAAAAACAAGTATCTTTCCCAGCTCGCTAGCGTAGCTGGCTCAGCCTGACTTCGCGGCGACGGGGTGAAGGCAGAAAAGCCACATTTCTCCCAGATTTACGGTATCATCAAGGCCGAAGGGTTACGATATACATAGTATCGAACAACTCATGGTTTCTGAATTTTTAAAAAAGTATTTAAGTGAGTATTACTGCCACCTATAATGCGTGTCTAACATTGACTAAGGAAGTTTGGCGTAGGACTGGTACCTCAAACTATTGAGCGCTTCAGTTGCACACATACACAAAAAACAATCATAAACAAGTCTTTGTATGAGTTAATTGAGGATCATGCTGCGTTGTGAAGAAAAATGCAGGAGAGAGAATCAATGCATTCATGTTTAAGTGTTCTGCTCTATATATGCATCCATATTGAGGTGGTGTTTATGTGTACACGTAGGTACACAACTGCATATGTTCAAACTGTTTTAACAGATATGACAGATTTGCAAAAAAACAGTCCACAATTTGAATTTCATTTTAATCTATTTGTTCCGGAAATCCTTTGGAGAAAAGGGCCAGAATCCGGGAATTACCCAAAAAAAAATCATCATTAAAAAAAAAAGATCACTGATAAATTTGAAGACAATTAATCTACACATAAAAATGATTTCCTGCATCAGAAAATGACAAATCCTCTTATTTTGGCACATCATAAGAAAAAAAAGGGGTGGGGGGGGACTAAACATTATGACAATAGCAAATTTGGGGAATAGAAGAAAGGCAGAAGAAGACCAAAAGAGAAGATGGACAGTTTCCCCATCACTCCTCATGGATTATTTAAAAAAAAAAAAAGACGCTTGTGAGTTCAAATAACCTGCAAGCCTTTTGTAGTTTTGAGATGGGAGAACAGAGCTTCTTCTTCTTCTTCTCTACATCCTCTTTTACCGCTTCAGGTGTCAAGGGAGATAAAACGGTCCTGCTTCATGGGGAACAGAGCACTTTTAGAAATGTTCTGAGTGCTATTATGTCAGTTCTTAACTGAGTTTGTTTTTCTATCATTCCACGATATTCTTTGCTTTCTTCTCAACAATGGCATCTCCACTGATGCTGCTTCTTGTTCAGATCTTGCATGCACATAAATACATTAGTTGCAACATTTGCTAAGCTAAAAAAAATGCAGACTGCTATGTAAAGTTGATCTGATTACTATGTTGAATTAAGAATTCATTACTATTAACCATTAAATTTAATTAGTCTGTTTATTTACATCAACTTGAACTTCAAAAATGAGCATGATATAGTACATGCACTAAATTACATTAGAAGCAAAGTTTACTTTATGACAATGGTCTGGAACACCAATCTGGCCATATTCCCTCTCTTGAGATTCCTCGGTGGAGGTCTGACACCACTGATCTAATGAGCCACATTTTGGATGTCAATCCAATAGGAACAAATCCCAGATCTTCAGTTCAAATTTATAAAATTATTATAACTGGAGACTACACCAAGTACTATTTTTATGTACCCGGCTGAGTCAGGTTTGATGGATGAGTCTAATAAAATGTAAAAGTAGAGTCTGCCTGATCAAATTAGAACAAATTTTACACTGTTGCCAAATAACTTTTTAAAAATGTTCATTCAACCTTAAAATGTTATGTAAAACTGATGGCTGTATGGCCACCCTGCTGTCCTAGGTGAGAAATGGGGGCCTGAAGCCTAAAACAAAATGCAATTATAGGGTTTGCCTGGTAAAGAACCTAAAGACATCAAAATTATTATATTTTCACAAAACATTTTACATTCAAACAACATCAAATAAAATGTTCTTTCTAATGCTGTGATAAAATGGTTATAACTGGTGACCCTACAGCTACAGCAAGCACTATCTCGATGTAATCTGCTGTTCTAATGAATAAGGATTCTTTTCATTCTCTCTGCCAGTAGTTTTCAGATGAAAAGGCCACAGGCCTCTATGAAGTCTGTGGTGCAGTGTGACACATGTCTTCCACACAGCTTGGTTTCCATTGAAATGCTAGCCTGCTAAACCTGGGATCTCTCTACTGCATGTAGACAGCATATCGGTTTTCCGTGGTGCCTGTCCACACGGGCAAAATTCTGCTTGTACTTGTGACTGCAGTCTGTTGTGTCCAGTATGCAATCTAACATGTGGCTGCAGAGTCTGTTGTGTCCAGTATGCAATCTAACATGTAGCTGCAGAGTCTGTTGTGTCCGGTATGCAATCTAACATGTGGCTGCAGAGTCTGTTGTGTCCAGTATGCAATCTACATATAATTGTCTTTTTTGTGTGTGTGTGTGTAAGAAGGTTGACTGGGATGAGGATTTAGAGTTTATTTTTTTCAATTGAAACCCCCCCCCCAGGACTGCAGTCTGTAGGATTAACACCTCATGTGTGAGAATCACACAGGTACAAATCCCAGAAACCTTATTCACCCTATAATAGCTATACAGGAGCACCCAATAATTATGAAGTAACCTGCAGTCCAGTGTAGGCGCATGTAAAAGGATGAGTATGTCAGTTTTTCTCAATGAGTACGCTCAGGAAGATGGAGATGGGCTGAGTCAGACGACTGTTGTTAGAGTCTCTGAGAGAGTCAGCACTGACGCATATCAGTTTCATATTCGTGCTAGGGCACGCAGGCGTGCAAGGAAAGGAGCCAGTTGATAGGCTTGCAGGTAAAGCTACCATAGCTAGAGAATGTACTATGGACCCCCCTGATATATTGAATGTTCTATGAGAAGTGAGATTTTTGCCTGAACCAGGTGATGACTGTGAGACTGCAACCATGACCAGACTGCAAGAACAACAGGTTACAATGAGTGTGGCTAGACATGAGCACTTGCAGGAAACCAAAGAATAAGAAACCAACACAGAATTGGTGCCATCAGCTGCTACATGCTGTGGGATTTACTGAGGAGGGGATCAGAGCACTTATGGAATGAATGGTTCAATGTGCAATGAGGATAATCTGTTGACTGACTGACTAACTAACTATTTCAGAGCCTGGTACCTAACACGATGCAATTATAAGTTATGCCTGGTTAAGACCAGAAAGACATTTTTTTAAAAATGATTACATTATTATAAGACAATTTTACGTTACAAAGACATTAATTACAAAATATTAAAAACAATGCTGTGACAAATAAGCATTTAACTCTCTGTGGTTGTGTTTAAAACACCTGTTGAATTTATCATCCTTAAGCTGTGTCATGCCTTCATTTAATAAAACAGCCACTCATATACCGACTCTACGAAGAGGACCAATTGTAACGTCTTCCATCTTCTTGTCCCTCGTTTTGGTGGAGTGGTACACGGCAAGCTGCTGTTTTATCGCTGCCTATGTTTTGCTTGCCTATCTTTATTTTTGCCCTCAAGATTTTTTTTTTTTTTTTTTAAATAAAGAAAAACCACAAAAGCAATGGCTTTTCTTTCTAACTGTCATTTTGTAAACCTGATAGGACAAACACTGCTCAACAATTCTGGTAAAATGCCAACTTAGACTCCTTAAAGTTATGAACAAGATAAAAATGTAAGCATCAAACAGTATAAAAATGCAATAGTCACGGATCGGATCTAAGGTCCTCAAATTATACTGACAACCAAGCTGGATTAAATGGGCTGAAACCATGACTTTTCATGGCCATAAACTGCTGCTTCTCTAACCTCCATCCAAATAAAATAACATTTTAAAATCTAAACAGAGAGGTTAACATCGAGCTGGTTACATTTTTTTTTAATGTCTTCGAGCAGTAAACAGGAGGCAAGCATAAACGGTTGCCAGAAAATATAACGACTTTCCTCACAAATACTGCATTTGTGGCTATACACTGAGAAAAATAAAATGTAATATACAATACTTTGTATACTGTAATTTTAATTTCATATTTTTAATTTGGTAATGACTTATGCATTTTATCTGTCTGTATGTGTGAAAATACTCAGCTTATGTTTTGAAATATAGCTGGTATTCTGAGATAAAATAGAGTATTCTAATATGTAATGAACAGATTTTAGATGCTATAAGTATCTCCTATTTTTGAAAAAAATATGGTTTAAAGACACTGCCACATACACATACATGACGGACAGGTGCCTCTAGCACCTTTCACTCCGATTCAACTGGTTTAGCCAACTTTTTATTCTTCTGAACTTTTTTGACATCTTTGGCACGATCCTGCACTTCTGGTTCTATGACATAGTCGGAGTCATCCGCCCCTGACTCGTCTGTGCGCTGAATGCCCTCCTCATTGTCATCAGCCGTGCCATCCTCTGTGCCGTGTGTGACTAGCCGGGTGCCTGGAAGAGGAGTTTTCTTATATCAGTCATTTTCAATAAGTTGAGCAATCAAAATAAATATAGAAACTGGTGCGCTGAGCCTAAGAGTGCTTGCATGTCGCCACGATAGCTTTGAATGAAGTGCCTGCATGTTGTCTGTTGTCTCTCTACCATCTTCCTGACATCTTAAACTTTGTGCCCCTCTCCCCCCTTAAATTGTTTAGTCAGGTATGGTTTGTAATCTGTCTTTGTCCAACTGGAATCGATTCACAGGCTACCTACAGTATTACTCTGTGTAGACTCCACCATTATTTTCACTTCGTTATATCGTGTTCATATGTTTTCACAGTACTTGTCTTAGAGTATCACAAATCTGGTATCATTTTTTTAAAGAATTACACAGGTTATGAATTACAAGGGTGCTGCTCCTATCGGCACATTAGTGATTTCAGTGAAGGCAACTGCACATAATAATTTATATAAGTATAGCTGGTCTGAGGTCACTGTTTGCTAACTGGTCTTGAAAATGACAATTCACTTTCTGGAGAATGTCTTCTGTGGCTAAGTCTGAAGTGAATGTAGTATACCACCATCTAGAATAGAAGCTAGGTTTGTTCGTTCAGTTTTTTTTTTTTTTTTTAATAGTTAGACTTGAACCAGTAGAGAGTTTATTAAGTTCTTCAACTAGTATGCAGTTTGTTATTTACTTTCATTCTTTAAAGTGTTCAATCTTTATATCCTAGTTTCTAGGCTGTATGAGTTATATAAGATGATTCTTTATAAAAGCTTTTCCTTTACCATTACACAAACCTGATAGATTTCTATTTGATCATTTGACTTCAGTTTCAAATCATTATTACAACTCTTCCCACACGTCCTTCATGGTCAAACTGTCAGGTTTTTGCAAAGGCAATTTGTTGAAGATAATTTACAACAACGAAAAAAGAATAAAAACTAAGAAAACCCAAGACCGGCTCCAGCTGACGGGCCATGCTGCTGATGTTACCCAACCGGGCTAACGCTACATTAACAGTGTTTTTTTTCTAACTTTTTGCTGCACACCTACCCTTAAAGTGGTTTGAATACAAGAGGAAAGAAGAAGAAAACAGTGCAAATTTAATGTCAAGCAGATTTGGAAGACTACTTGATTACTGCCGCAGCACCCCTGACATACGCTCGCGGCACCCATTTTGAGAATCGCTGCGTTAAGGTATCATTAGCCTGGTTAGTAGGTCAGCAGCAAGGCCTGTCAGCTGGAGCTGGTCTTTGAAAACCTCAGCGTTCCACCGTTGTATGCAGAGTTTTGAGGTGTTTAGTCCACCGCTCTTACCCAATCCCGCTAGGAAGACTCCATAGAACAAGTGTAGGTGACCAGAGTCAGTCACATTAGGTAAACCATTTAAAGGCATAGAACCCAGCAATTTATCTCTGCCCGGTAGATCTCTACTGGAATAATACCATCCTGTTTTCTTCTCCACGACTTGAGTGTTCTGTGCACATCCATTTTACAGAACCAGGCTTATTTGTATGCAGACTGTTGGTTCCTTGCCTTTAGGTGCACTCAGACTTTGAAAGAAACGCCAATCCTCTCTACACTGGCCAAGCTCCCTGAAACCTGTTTCCAGGATGACCATGTAGAGGTGGAGACAGGTCCTAACAAGCATAAGCCATGGTCCCGGTGCACCACCATGTGTGGTGTTTTCAGCATTCCCAGCTTGCTTTGAATTTAAAGCATCATCATAAAGTGAGTTCACCTGCACTTTTTTTAATCTAACCTGTAGCTCAGCACACCCTTCTTCTTCTTAGTGACCGTAGTAAACTTCAGTTGAATGTTCTAGTTGTTCGTCTACTTCTGGATTTGGTCTTATTCCAGAAATTGGAGTTCTGTGTGCATGTCTTGTTTACAGACCTGCCTTATTTATATGCAGACTGTTGGTTTTTTGCCTCCTAGGCAGATGTATCCTGACTTCAAAGGAAATATCCCTAAACAGCTTTTACAACATGCTTGTCAGGGGGGACAGATTTGCTTTCTCTTAACTTTGATTTACTCCCCACTCCCCCACCCCAAATCCCTTTCTATCGTCAAGGCAACAGGTTTGTGTATATGAGGAAAGACTAAGTGAATGAATAAAAATCAAATATTCACCTGCTGTGCTCCGCTGTGGTCTACTGGGCTTTTCTGAACCTGTTCGAGATTCTTTCTCCTTCCTGGCAGGCAGATTGGAAATTTAAAAAACAGAAAACTATAATGATATTTATGTTTCCAACACTGAAAAGAAATAAATCTACCCATTCATTTCTCGACATGCAGTACTTCTGCCTCCTGTTCTCTCTTCAGCTTCCATCTCATACTAACATTCATTTCTAAACATGATTCACTGTCATTCTGGTCTGAAATGAACTCTTAACATGTTCACCACTAGTAAGGACTGAACCTAAAATCTCTTGTCTTTGGGAGCTTGAGTGATACCACAGACTATAAGCCAATTTAACCATCTTTCCACACTTAAGAGTTCTAAACCAATATTATATATTGTTAATATTTCCAAAGCACCTGTTTCCTTTAACTCTTCTAAGGCAAGTAGTTATTTTAACTTATTCTACAGCAAGAGGTATTATAAATGTCTTTATCTGAAGGGGTTAAAAACAACAACAAACAAAAGATATATATATAGAGAGAGAAAGATTATGGTACAAAAGAAATTCAACAATCAATATGATTAGACTAGGTTTATAAAATAACCGGTGGAACCACAGAATAAAAGTGTATATGGATATGAGGTTTTTTAGGATATGAGAGCAGGCTCGCTAAATTGTGGTTTTTTTTTTTAAGCCCCCTAATTCCCAGAAAATGAGACAAACTCCAGAATGTGAGCTGCAAAGACAGGAGCTCTTGGCATTACATGACAGCATCTCAATAACTTTTAAACAGGTGATGTTAGGATTACTGAAGGAGGAATTAAACCAGTCAACAAGGCACTTGATGATGAGGGACTGTAGCATCAATGTCAGGAGTAACCCCTTTTCCCTCTGCTATCAAAAAGGAAAATAGCAGTGCAGCACATGAAGAAAGATGCTATACTATAAATCAGACCTGCTGACTTCCTTGGGACTTCCAGCATCTTTGTCCTCCTCATCGTAACTCGAATCCCCAGGATGGCAAAATGTTCTAAAATGGACTGGGTTTTTTCTGTAATAAAAAGCAAAGTCAATGTAATGGATAAAGTTAATCATTTAGGCCAGTGACTCTCAACCTTTCTAATATCGCGACCCTTTAATAAATTCCTCATGTTGTGGTGCCCCCCCCCCCCTGACTATAAAATTATTTTAGTTGATACTTCATAACTTCAGTGAATATGTGTTTTCCGATGGTCTTAGGCGACCCCTGTGAAATAGTTGTTTGACCCACACAGGGGTTGCGACCTACAGGCTGAGAACCGCTGATTTAAACATACTAACACAATTAGCTTAAATATAATCCTTGCTGTACATACAATCAGTCAAGTACTTGGATTCAGCTATCCTAGTAATTTAACCCCCTTGCCTCAGAAACTTTTTGGGGAAAATAAAGCGCAGAACTTTGAAAATTTATGAAAAATTCTTTAATTAAATATTGATTTTTATATATTTTTAACCCTGTGTAGATAGATTTGGGAAGGGGAGGGGTGGAGATGCAAAGACTCATAATATGCATGTCAAAAGAGGTGACTAATTAGAGGTGATTCCTTCAAATTCGGAGTGCATGTGCCTGAGAGGTAAGGAGCTAACAGTTTGCACACATATAAGCCAGGTCTGTAAAACGAATGTGCATTTAAAACTCGAATTCTAGAACAAGACCAAAGACCAAAAGTGCACAAACAATAAAAAATTTATGTCTGGTTGTTTTAGACAATATATGAAGAGAGTAACCAATTGACATGAGCACAGCGAAGAATTAAGCAATGAGAGTCCCTGGGCGTGCAAAAGAATAACTCATATGATGACTCATTCCATGTCTTTAGATTACTAAATGCTTAAGCAGAATTATGCCAACATTATGGGGTTTTTTTTGTGTGTAAATTCTTTTAAGGTTATTTGTTTACAATATAACACTACCTAAAATGCTCAATATCATGTAGCAGGTCTTTTGCAGAATGTTGCTCTCATTATGATCTGCCTGAAAGAAACTTGGTCTCTTGCCAGCTCTTCCTCCTCGTGTACTTTTCTATTCGAGGAGTCTTTCTCTGTCTCTCTTTCCACAGATCTTTCCAGTGGTCACAACATGTTCCATTTTCCCTCTCCTCATGACATCGGACTTCGTTTTATTTCTGGTTTTCCAATTACAAAAAGGTTGGGGGAGAGGAGGTGGTGGAAGGTGGTGTAGAAGGCTGAGATAGTAAGGGTGAGACAGAGGAGGTGAGAGAATAAAGTGGGGACTGAGACGGAGATAAAGAAGGGAGAAAGAAATAAGATGAGATATAGAGGGAAGAAGGTAGCAGGAAGGGATGCACCCCCTCCCCTAGGTGTCATCAATGTGGGAGGAGAAAAAAAAAAGGGGGGGGGGGGGGGGTGACGGCAAATGTGGTTTTAAAAGTACACATATATTTAATATGTGTGTGAGGGAGGGGGAGTGGTGGACATGAATTGTTCTGCACTAGACAACACATAACCTTCTACGCCAACTGAAGGTATGAAGAAAGAGAGAGAGTGGGGGGGGGGGTGAGGAAGAGCGGCAAATACAAAAAGAAAGAGAGAGGAAGGCAGTGACAGACAGGCAGAGAGTGAGGAACAGGTAGGCCCGCTAAGAAAATAAACACATCAAAAGAAAATATCCACCATGTTCACACTGAACGACACACCCCCCACCCCCCAACCATAACACAACTTCCTATGTACTTGAGTTGCTAGGAAAAGGAGCCGCACATTTACTAAACATTTAAACAAGAAATAAAATGGGAAAAGGGGAGGGAACAGGAAATGAGAGAGTAAAAGGAAAGAGAGAGAAAGATCAGATGGGAGGGTGATGCAGGAGACGGGAAGGAAGGAGCAATAGGTAGAAGAGTGAAAGAGGGAGGCAAGGGAAAGAAAAAAGAGGGAGGCAAGGGAGAGAAAAAGAGAGGGAGAGGGGTGAGACAACAGAAGAGGGAATCTCTGGGAATTACAATACTGATCAACCAGGCCAAAATTAGAACTGGGAAATCCAGTTGACGTCACTTTGCTTAGCCCCCACCACGGCGGACTCTATTTATAAATAGAGACGGACCCAAGCCCCACCATCTCCCAATGAAATCTTTTCTGGAAACCACGGCCATAAAGCTATTTATAATATTAATTCTGGGGGACTCGCTATAAACTAAGGCACACGCACACACTAGACGGCAGCTGCTCCTTCCCGCCCCATGCCACGCCGCGCTGTCTGCATGTTTTCATAGGCTGCAACACAGCCCGCCCTTCCCTGGTCTTAACAAGCCATTTTGGCTGAAAATAGCCGATAATCAGGTGTCCTCATACTTGAAACAACCGTAAACAAAAGTAGCCAAAACTAGCCAAATGGCCAACAAAAAAGCCAAATGGCCCAAAAGAAATAGCGTAACTGCTGAAAATCACAGGATTTCCGACGATCTCTTTGCGGATCTCTTTACGGCGGTCAAAATTCACGGCTTCTTAAGGTCAGAATGTCCTTTTTAAGGGGAAAATCATGGTTTCTGGTAGGAAAGTCAATTTCACGGTCAAGATTTCCAAGTCCACTACGAACCCTGAACCACATCTCCATGGCCTCAAGATATTGCTAGCTGTTTATTATTTGTCCAGGCTTCACAGCCGTATGTTAAAACTGGCTCTACATAGCTTGCGAAAATTCTTTTCCCAACCTCCAATTACAGAGATTTATTGCATACAATTTAACGTTTACCTGTAGCATTTTTTTCCATACTGACAAGGCTCTCTCCTCCTTTTCTTCTTGTTCCCCCCTTCATCGCTCTCATCTGATTCATGAGACACAGTTCCACCTCTACGCTTAGATGGTCGTGGTACATAAGGTTCATCATCTTCCATTTCATCATCATCTTCATCTGAATTGTCTTTTGCTTTGCTTGCTCGCCTGGGCTTTTTCTTCTTGCTTGCTGCTACTCTTTTAGTAGGACCTTTGGGTGGCCCTTTGTTTTTGCCTTTGGAGGTCTAGGAAAAAACAAGTGGAAACAAAAGAAATGCAGGCTTTAAAAACTGAAGCTGTTTATTTCCTGTAGCAAAATTATGTGTTTACAACAGATCAAAAAAGGGTGTTCATGGTGAGTCAACTGAACATGCTGACATTTATCAATTAACAACACACAGTAAATATATATGAAGGCATTAAACATAGCACACAAAACAATTTTATAAGGTTATGGGTCATACTGAAAGAATGGCAGATGAAAGTGAAATAAAATACTTAAGGGAGGTGAATGGTCGTAGATCATGAAGCAGACATAATGGAGAAACAATACATAGGCAGACATGCAAACACCTGGAGACACAAACTGGCAAGAGAGGACTAATTACAAGGTAAATGGAGGGGGGTGATTTTTGCAGCAATTGACCTCAGCTTGGAATGCTGAAGATGATGAAAATTACATATATAAGAGGGGTCCTAATGGAGCAATGCGTAAAACAAGATTCCTAATGTCTATTAGCTATTAAACAGCATTTTGTCTCGTAAGCTGAAATATTTTGGTTATATCAAGCTGGAAAAATAATAATAGCAGAATGCATGGTACCAGGATGAGGGGAAGGGGCCGACCAACATAAAGATAGGCAGAGAATATAACGGACTCCTTGGATATGAAAGTGCACGAGGTGGGAAAGCTGAGTTTCTTTCAGGTAGACAGTGATGAGCACGACATTCCGCAAAGGACCTGCTTCATGATAATCTTGGCTTCTTATCACACTTGTGGCTATTTGAGTCACTGGGTGTCATGTCGAATGCTGAAATAAAAATTGACATCTCAGCACTTGGGATGTTCCCAAAAGTGCTTAATCTCCCATCTGCAATAGCAAGTTCCCTTGAGATCCCCTGGTCACTCCTCAATGCAGCATTCTCCTCAGACAGTGAGGATCTATTTGTGTCTCCTTACTGTTCACTCACTCCTAAATGACCCTTACAACATCTATCTTGTCATGCGTCATCGATTTACCAGCAAGTGGTGCAGAGCCAACCAGTCTATCCACCCTGTTCGTTTCTGAAAATAGAGGCATAACCAGGAGAAAATATCCAAAGTACGATAACCACCTGGGACCCCTGAAGCAATGATGGCTGCAGGGAACATGCACATCCTTACATGTCTCCACCTTTTCTCCATCATACCTGTCTCCAACATAACTGTATCCACCTTTATCAAACATACGTCTCCACCTATCTACAACATACCTATATCCACCTTTCTCCAACATACCGGTCTCCACCTTTCTCCAACATACATGTCTCCACTTTTCTCCAACATACATGTCTCCACCTTTCTCCAACATACCTGTCTCCACCTTTCAAAAAACAATCTCTGAAAGTCTCCACCTTTCAAAAAACAATCCCTGAAAGGGGAAATTTACAACAGCAACAAAATACAAATCAACATGTGAGGTCTACAGCTGTAAAAAAAAAACAATCACAGCTAACCTTTTGTTTTTGTGAGCTGCTTGCTGACTTCTCCCAGTCACTCCCAGATTCTTCTTCTCCCTCCACCATGAAGTCACTGTCTTTATCTTCATTGCCTTCATTATCATTATCCGATGCAAAGTCTTCCAGAGCTTCCTCTATCATCGGGTCATCAACTAGATAACAACAGAAAAAAAACATTTGTGTGCACAGACAAACACAAAAATGCTTGCTTGCAAGCGTACTACTTCTTTCTTTCAAAGCAAGTTCATTGTAGAAATGCTCATGACTGCTTTGAATCTGCATATTTTTCTTCTGTTGCTCATAAAAGGGAGTTTAGCAGATTAGCAAGCTGTGTCATGGTTAACAGCTATGCTGTGATATCTGTAATTGTCTGCCCAAAATATTAAATTCAGCAAACCTTTCATTATTTACCTTTAATGAAATGCCCTTAAAGAGACTTGGGTCTACTCTCTTTTCTCCTAAACTGGTGCACCCAAAATCCACAGGGGGAAGAGATTCTGGAGGTAAAAGTGTCTTTCTTTGGGGGAAGGCAGCCAGAAACATGCCGAGCATTCTCAGTCATAAACATCATCAAGTGCCTTGCCGACTGGCATGGGCAATCATGCCTCTCCACCATCTGCAACTGCGTGTATCAGTTCATGTGTTGACACCCCTCCATGCCATGACGAAGGGCTGTAAAGAATCTTCTTGTGCTGTCTTTCTCTGTCTCTCCACAGATCTTTCTAGTGGTCACAACATGGTCCAGTTTCTCTCTTCTCATAACATGACTAAAAAATTACGATTGTGATAAGTTGCCTTTCAGCCCATGCCTCTTTCAAAATATCTGGGCTGCTCTTTTCCAAGAAATTCTAAGGATTGTTCTGTTAAACAACATCTTATTCTCAAAAATCTGTCCAGTTTCTCTCTTCTCATAACATGACTAAAAAATGACGATTATGATAAGTTGCCTTTCAGCCCATGCCTCTTTCAAAATATCTGGGCTGTTCTTTTCCAAGAAATTCTAAGGATTGTTCTGTTAAACAACATCTTATTCTCAAAAATCTGTCCAGTTTCTCTCTTCTCATAACATGACTAAAAAATGACGATTGTGATAAGTTGCCTTTCAGCCCATGCCTCTTTCAAAATATCTGGGCTGCTCTTTTCCAAGAAATTCTAAGGATTGTTCTGTTAAACAACATCTTATTCTCAAAAATCTGTCCAGTTTCTCTCTTCTCATAACATGACTAAAAAATGACGATTATGATAAGTTGCCTTTCAGCCCATGCCTCTTTCAAAATCATCTGGGCTGCTCTTTTCCAAGAAATTCTAAGGATTGTTCTGTTAACATCTTATTCTCAAAAATCTGTTCCTGGTGCCCTTTTGTAGATTGGGCCAGGCAGCACAGATCAGTTTTTATAATTCACCTAGACAGGAATTCAAATACACCACCAACAGCCTGATAGTCAAGTGTGCAAGCTACGGTGCCATTAAAATTCTTGATTTCCAATTGAGGCATTTTTAGTGCATGAGGTGCACACAGGTCCTCCTAGTTTTCCCCCTGCTCATCCACCAGATTCAGACCAGAGTAACGTATAGTATCCTTTAACCCTGTTATATATTGTGCATAAATCTTGAAAATGAACAGCCTACTGTAAAGTCAAACTGGGAACTGGAAACCTGGACATGGGAATGTGACTTCTTCTTTGCATTTGGTTTCTTATGCTCAGATCAGACCATCAGATGGGTTGCCTCTATAAATAAACTTGCATGTCAGTAGCAGGTCATTCATGGTTTCCCCATAGCTTGCCCTGCCCACTTTGCTCTTGGGGCCAGGTGTCTTTTCGAAGTTGTAGGTAGAGTAGCCAGGTCTGTAGAATGTGCTCATGTGTTTGTGCTCCTGTTTGACAGGCACACTGTGGGGACTGTACAATCTTTATTTTATGCATGTGGTAGTTGAGCCTGTAGTATCCTGTTTGTAGACGGAAAATTGTTGTATGTTGCTTTCTCTTGAGTCTGCTAATGGAGTCACAAAGTATACAGAATATGTTGTATTTCATGAAAATATAAACAATCATATAAAGAGGTTCTGCAGCAACTGAGAATGAAAAGAGTATTGCTGAAAGAAATGAAAATGAAACAAGCTATTTCGGTCATACTTATACCACTCTTATAACATGAGGGAAGAAATGAAAACAGATAAGCAAGGAGAAGGAGATGTCAAGAGATGGACAAATAGAAGTCAAAATGGGTATAATCAGTGCAAAAGTGAAATTTGGAAATCCAGTGACGCCAACCTGGCTCCAATATGGGATGCAATTCTTTGTTATTTCAAAGCCCCAACCCCAGCTGTTGCCGGGGACCCTAATATGACCTAGCGGTTGAACAGGGTTGCTGGGTGGCATCTGATTCATAACACTGTCATATTTCTTGTACTCTAAAAATACGAAGCATAATGCACAAAAAGAGTTATAGATGGATGACTAGCCACTACAACCAACATTCCTATGTCATAATTATAACTTATATGGTGACTTAACCCACCAAGAGACTAAGACATTAATACCATCTAGTATCTGAGAAAGGTGGCTGAATACACAAAGCAAATTCTCTCTGCAGAAAGGGACAATGTATTATATTCTGACTAAGGACAGGGCACAACAGACTTCGTCAACATATGTTCAAACTTTTCAGTGAAGAAATCATGGAGACGTGCCCATGGAACATGGCACCCGAAAATGCTGAGCATATGCTCTAACACTACCAACTGTATGCTGCCAACAGTGACGCAATCTGGCCTGTTTATACCACAATTAGGAGGACATATGGACTGCACAATAGCTGTCATGAAAGTTACCTGTCTCCTGATATAAGTTTTCTAACAGAAGGATCGAAGAAGAAGATAACATATTGCCTCTTAACAGTCAACACACAGGCATACCAACAACAACAAAACAGACATCATAAAAGACTCACCATAACTTCCTCGTTTCTGTCTTGCTGCCCTTTGTGGTCTTCTTAATGAAGACTCCTCCTCTTCCTGTGCACGTCCTCTTCTCCGTGGCAATGCCTCCTCATTATCATCATCTTCATCAAGATCGCTGCCTTTCTTCCTGGCCCGACTTCTCTGTGGAGTACTTCTTGGAGCCCTGACTGGTGTTTTCTTAGCCCGAGCACTTCCTTTTCCTTTTGGAGTTTTCTTAGAAGCTTTAGATTTGGACTTTTTCGGAGAATAATCGTCGTCGTCGTCATCCTCACTGATATCATCTTCGCTGTCACTTGTTCTCTTTTTCTTCTGAGCCTTTCCTCCTTTCTTCTTCAAAGTTTTTTCTGGCACATAATCATCATCTGATTTTTCTTCTTCCAATTCTTCATCACTATCTTTAGCTTTATGTCCCTTACTTGGTTTCCCAGAGGTTTGTTCTTCTTCCTCTTCTTCTTCTTCACTTATGTTGTCATCATCACTGACAGGCTTGATCAATTTAGTACCTAGAAGAGGGTTAAAAAGAAAAAAAAAGGATCACAGTGAGCAAAATAATTGTTTCGCATCTTTATTCTCAAAGTTATGTCACTGGAATAAGTACAATGAAGAACAACAAAAACTTTTTTTTTAGCCTGACCCCCCCCCCCCCCCCTCCCCAGGGGTCTGTATTTTTAGGATTCCCAAAGGGTCCTTTAGAATAAACACTTTACAGAAGTCACGAAAAACACAATTCAATTTATAGACCCAAATAATGTTTCCACAGAGAATAAGAGGAGTAATTAGTAAACAGGAATGCAGTAGAGAATTAACTGAATTAGCTCTCTCTGACCATTCAAAACATTTATAGGGTGGCTCATACTTGGCCTCCTGGGAACCACAAGTGGTAATGGGAAACTAGGACTTCATAATTTTTTATTTAAAAGCCACTTGTTCACAAGGAAACACCCTTTCAATGCTATTTTTAGTAAAAATAATTAATTTTGGCCCTCCTTTATGTTTGCGCAGGCTCATACGATATCAGTGTTATTAGCTATGTTTTTTCATTAACAAGTCGCTATAGCAAATCAGTAAAGTGACATCTGCAGGGAATTGAACCCAAAGAAGAGTCACTTTCTTGTGTCAATCTATTAACTATGGCTGAATTCAGTTTGCTGTTGACTTTTATAAGATACTCCTGGTCATCTTTTTCTTCCAGTCCATGCTGTGTGGTAATGGAAAATAAGTCTGCAAAATGCCTTGTCTGATAATAGAAAAGAAACTCTTACCTGGTTTTTTGGTGACCGGAGCGGCTTTTTGTTTTTTTGCTGGTGGCTTCGCCTTTGTTGGTGATTCTGCCACTTTCTCCATCCAATCTGGCAAAGCACGTTTTTTCTTCAGTGGCAGTGTCATATCGCCCTGACCTTCGACTGTGACCTTCTCAGGTTCATTATCCTTCAAACAGATTTGTTTTTTAAATCGGTATTAAAGGTATATATAAAAACCTGTGCTGCATAATTATGTTCATTTTGTTTTGAACACTAACAATAAACTGTAAACTGCCTTTGGCACCTTTCTGCCTTCCCGAGCAATAATGTCATACTATGCTATAGAAGCTTCATCTCCATAGCCCAAAGCCTGGCTGGATCCCTTTCTCAGCATGCTTTGTTAATTCCAAAGGAAAGGTGACACCAATGTGTTCAGAACAAAGCCTGACACAGAAGCTATCAGATTTAAAAAAAAAAACTGTATCAGCTTCACTCCTAGACCAGCTGTCGACAAAGGCTTAGTTAGAGTCTGGTCTGCCCTGCCATGACATAACGTTTTCAGGTTGCATTTCCTTTTCTTTGGATAAGGCTAGCCTCCTCCTTAATGTGCTCTGCTCCTTGCTCGAACAAGTTGGTTAGCATTTGTGGGGGGGGGGGGGGGTGTTGGTTTTTTAGAGGAAAAAAGGTCTCTATATTTGCCAATGGCACACGAGGCTTGACTCATATTTCTATAGACCATTCGGCCCTTGATGTGTGATGTGGTTAACATCACGCCAGAGGTCTGTGAGACACTAAATAGGAAATACTGATTTAAAATATACTTAAAACTAAAATACTGTACTGTGTTGATTCTTACAGAATTGGTCAATGTAAAAAAAAAAAAAACAGCATAACCAGCGGTACACACCTCTACAGAGAACAGAAGAGAAAAAATCTCACTTGTAATTGACTTCAAATTATGCCAAATAAAACAAAACTTAATGAAACCCCATCCTAATGCACACTGTGCATAAACAACACATGACACCAACACTAAATATAACACTGATTCTCACCTCTTTGCTTTCATCCTCTGAACTGCGTTCTTTTTCATCCTTTTCTTCCTCATTATTTAAAGAGCTAGTGCTAGATTTTCTAGATTTTTCCAAATCTTCAGTGGCTTCTGAAGAAAACAACACATTAAGACCACCTGTTAAATTGTAGTTCCTTTTGTGAAAATATAGGCAACTTAAACTGTTACTAAATCTTTACAACCTGCCCAAGTCAGTTAATGCTTGACAAGACCGCCTACGCTGACTGGTTAGAATTTTACAAATTAATTAACACTATTTACTCAAAACCTCCCAAAGTACCCTACAATGTTTACTGAAAAAAAAAACATGACTTGATTTGATTTAAGAACAGACATAACAGCACTCGAGCATTCCCATAAGCGCTCCGTTTCCATCTTCAGCAGCCAGTGAAGAGTTCCAATGCTAATGGTGCCAGTAGCATTCTGATTAAACGTCCGTCTTGCCTTTCCTCCGAGCCTCGAGCATCTACCAGAACCTCTCGCCACTCCCCGCTGCATCAGTCTCACCAGACTGTGGTGACCCATCTGCTCCTCCGAACTGTACACGCTCTCCCTCTCCTGCACCAAACATCGACCATTAACTTTTGCTATGAAGCACCAAGCACTTTTGCCTCTTGACACTGCACCATCTGTGTAAATGATCAAATCCTCTGAGCCAGCATTATCTTGAATTAACTGCTGAATTTCCACCTCTGTGGCACCTGCTGGCCAGTCTCTACATTCCCGGCTCAGCGTGATTATGACTCTACACAAGTCTGACTGTTCAGGTGGCACTTTGACCCACTCTTCTCCTCGTCTAATGGTCTCAAGGATGCAAACCTGTCTGACTGTGTCTTTTGCCTGAGCCATCCATGACCTCCCTCTTATCAGCCGCTGACCCTTAACCGCACCCAGAGCTTCATGCAGATGGTGGTTTGTGTCTGCAGCCACCCTTAGGTATGACTTCATCTGCAGCACCTTGTGCCTACCTGCAACCATCGGCAAACCAAGGATGTATCGCATACACACCATTGGGGTGTCTCTGGTGCAGCCCAGAATGACCCGCATAGCCGCGTTCTGTGAATGCTCTAGTTTGTCCATCTGACTCTTTGAAATGGTAAGCATTCCCAGGCAATAATCAACTACAGACTGGATCAGGTGCTGATATAGTGTGAAAAAGCATTCTCTGCTCTATGTCAATTGCAGCCATAGTCTTAAGTGCACTAAGTCCTTTTTGGCATCTCGTCACAACACTCTCCACATGGTCCTTAAATTACAGGCTTCTATCAAATGTAATTCTCAGATACTTCAGTTTGCTCTCTCTGTTGACGTTTCTACCATCTATCGTGAGACTTAGGACATTAGCTTTAATGATTCTGTTGTCCAGAGAACACCACAAAACAAACGCCTATTCCGGGTGGACGACAGCCCTCATTTCTGTACACCACTCAGTCACTCTGTCTACTGTCGCTTGTAGCTCCCGGGCTGTTTGTTCCCTCTCTTCCACCTGCCTATATGCAAGTATATCATCCGCAAAAGTCAGTATCCTTCCAACTCCTGGTGCTTCAAGGCTTGCAATCTTGCTCGTATACACGTTAAAGAGCACAGGCGAGATGGCGGATCCCTGTGGCAGTTCTGGGGCCAAAGTGCATGGTTCTGAGGCCCATGAGCCCAGTCGGAGAGCAACCCGACGTGAATACAGGACAGCTGCAACCCAATTCACCAGCCATGGACTGACCCCTTTCTCCTTCAGTGCAGTCATTAAGATGTTGTATCTCACTCTGTTATAAGCATCCTCGAGATTCAGTCCTACCGCCACTTTTCCTGTCTGTTCTGGAAACCTTCATAGACATTTACTGAAAACTTCATAAGGCAATACAGTTTACTGAAAATTTTACAAAGCATTCCTACAGTGTTTATTGACAATATTACAAAACAACCTAAACTGTTTATTGACAATATTATAAGGCAACCTACACTGTTTATTGACAATATTATAAGGCAACCTACACTGTTTATTGACAATATTACAAGGCAACCTACACTGTTTATTGACAATATCACAAGGCCACCTACACTGTTTATTGACAATATTACGAGACAATCTACACTGTTTACTGAAAACCTCACAAGGCATTATACACTGTTTACTGGAAACATTATAGAGCATTCTGACACTGTTTATTGGAAAAGCTGCTATGGTGTAGTGGCTAGACGTACACCTGTGGATGGGAAGGTTGTAGTTTCTATCCTGATAGAGCCAAACTTTTCTTTTAAAAATGTCCTTTTCTCTCAGGTCGACCTAGCCTTGAGTGGGTACCAGGTTCAGTCCTGGGAAGTAAAGGCAGCCATCATATGTTGACCACATCACCCACCAACTACAAATTGGGCTATAAAATATAGGTGTGGTTCAAAGTCCAATACGCCTGAAGAAAAACGGTCCTTTATTTACTTTAACAGTGTTTATTGAAAACATTACAAAACAACCTGTACCGTTTACCTAAAACTTTACAAGATAACCTAAAACCATGTCAAATTTTACAACACAGTTAGTACCAACTTCTTCATCGCGCTCACAGCTGTAATCTTTGGTGGAAAGGTCTAGCTGTTCATCCACTTCAGGACTATAGTTTTGCTGCAGAACCTGAGTTTTGTGTGCAGGTCCATTCAACAGATCTGGCTTATTTTTATGCAGACTGCAGGTTCTTTGTCTCTTAGGCTAATGCACTCGGATTTTGAAGAAAACATCCAGAATAAGTCAACTCTTATGACATGCTTGAAAGGGGAAAACAAAGAGGGGGGTGGGGGGCAGTGGGACCCCAGAACCCACAAGGGGGAGTGTTGCTTAATTATGCCTCTAGTCTGAATTAATGCATACTTGCAATTTTGACAAACTGAATTTAAATAAAACACCTTTATGGTGTCTATTAAAGGTAGCAACAAAGAGAACAAGTCGGCACAGAACCAATTCTGGATTACATACAAAGACAGCAAGTGAAATGGTTTGCCCACTTAGAGAGAATGCCTTGTGACACCATACCATACAAAGCATACATGGAAAGAGAAGAAGGACGTAGAGCACGGGGTAGACCAAGAACAAGATGGAAGGATAACATCAGAGAAACTCTACAACAGCACGATGTGCCTATGGTCGAGGCAGCCAGAAGAGTTAGAAACAGAGCCTTATATCTCCCTCGACACCCACAGCGGTAAAAGAGGAAGTGAAGAAGAAGAACAATTAGAGAATGAAGTGAGACAAGGAGAACATACGGTGAGCTACACATGTTAGAAAAAGATAGGATGACTTGGCTGGGGGTCTATGCTCAACTGGAAGAAGGGGAGAAAGAAGAAGAACAAGAAGAAGAAGAAAAAGAAGGAAACAAACCAGCTGCCATTTTCACATCACCATCAAAGACATACACATCTGTGCAAGATAGACAATCGATGAAAAACAATCTTACCCTTCTTCGGTGGTTTCGTATCTTTTGCTTCTGCTGCAATTCCATTAGAAACATTTTCTCCCGAAGCTAAGCTCTCTTCTTTTGGGCTGCTGTTTTCTTTTTTCAAGTCATCTCTTTAAAGATAAGAAAACACTAAATTGAGTGCGATGCACCTGTGTACAACATGAATGCAGATACAAGCAAGCATGGAATGAAACTGTTTCAAACATAAACCAGTATAGGAACTATCATCAACATAAGTAAAACTTTACACATTTGAGATCATCTTCATGTCAAAGGTACTATCTTCACACTAAAAGTAACTACATGGATCCTCAGCCCTCGTCATATCAAAGGTTATTACACGGATAAGTTGCTGTTGTCACAAAGTGCCTTGAGACAATGGCTCCTGCTTTATTTAATAGACAGCTATAATGTAGCGCTATTAGGATTTATTAGGTAATGTATCAAATTGCGATATACAACAGCCATGAAGAGCACAGAAGAGCTCGCTTCACAGGTAAATTGCCGGGAGTTAAGTTCCGGCAGAGATTTTTTTAATCCTTTCCTCAACCGAGACAGATCAGAGCTGGACTTGGTAAACTGTTCACACCAGAAGCTGTACCTTCAGGCTGTGTCAAACTGATTTGATATATGAAATCCCTGCCAGGTGTAAGTGAAGTACAACCAACTAAATTGATCTGCTTACTGTCGCTATACCTAATTTGTCTACCATTCATGCTAATCATTCTGCTTGTTGGAAAAACACAGTTTGGTCCCACATCCCACAAATTATCAGTGTCTACCACTCCTGCTTCCTATACCATACTAACACTATGTGGGGAGGGGGGGGGGTGTCTTGAGTCATGGGTTCAAGCCCCGGCTGGTTTTTTTCCCCTGGTCTCTGGGTGGTAAGATTGTATCGTTGCACACATTTTAAAAAAATCCCTTGGCAGTTGAAATTATATTATTATCACTATAGAATGGAACAAGTGTTATTTCACACTAACCATTCTTTCTGGAAAGTTTTAGAGCATCTAACTGATTTGAAACCTAGAATCACTGTTGTGATTTTAAAATCAGATTAGTTCAAATTATCTTTGGGGTAGTTGAAATAAAAAAAAGAGTAGCCTAACAGCGCTGCCTGGGAAAAATTTGGAGATAATAATATATCCAAAGTATTTCATGATCCTCGTCGGTGCTGCGGATCTCGTGCACTGCACTGAGATTCTTCAGATTCAGGCCTGAGTTAGAAGTAGAACAGAGCACTTATGGGATACCACTCTTGTGCCATGATGCTGATCCGTTGTATAAACAAACGAACAAACAAACACGATGCTCATGTATATGTATGTCAACATATTATTATGAAATTGCTTATTTGTTGTTCATTTGATTCAATTTTGTTTATTTATGAGACATATATGAGAGTTTAAATTTGTTATAATTCTTAATCAAACTGTACGAACTCAAATCCTCCACAAGCACATTTCTGAGTGTGGAGACAGAAATTATATTATCACCATGGAATGGAACAAGTGTTGTTTCACTTTAACCATACTTACTGGAAAGTTTTACAGCAGCTAACTGATTTTAAACCTAGAATCACTGTTGTGTTTTAAAATAGATTAGTTCAGATTATCTTTGGGGGAGTCGCCATGGTATAGCGGCTGGACGCTCGCATGCGGATAGGAAGGCCATGGGTTCGCTTCCTGCCAGAGCCAGACTTTTTTTTTCAAAAATGACAGTGACTCGCAGGTTGACCCAGCCTTGAGTGGGTATCGGGTGCAGTCTCGGGAAGTAAAGGCGGCCGGCGTGATACTGACCACATCACCCATCTTGTGCCGATTGGTCTATAAAAATATAGGTCTAGCCATATATTCCCAATACGCCTAAAGGCGTGGAAAAAAGAACTATAATTTTTTTTTAAATACAAATGATCACTGACATCCTAAATGAGTTTGATGCACTTTAACTTAGTGTTTATACTTGATTGAAATGTATTATGGTTAACTCTGAGGAGAAAATTCAAAGGTAGATTGAGACACATTGATCTGAATAACTGTATTTGCATCCAGTAATTCCCAGTATCAGAAATGTGTTGAACATCAGAATGTGTACCCAAATAATTCACAGTTGAATTTAATCCTTTACACCTCTTATCTCATTACTCACCATTTCTAGTATGTATGTATATACTAACACAGTTTCAGCTGGAATGATTGAGTGAGTGAATATATCAGGATAAAACTAGTAAATGAGTGTTTGCCAAAGTGTATGGCATGTCAACTTCACCAAATTATATAGAATGAGATATGTCTGTTCTTTCATAATCTCAACAGCTGTGAAGATGTTTGAGAGATATATGACTGCTTTGAAAAAATAAGACCAAGGGATATTGAAGAACATACATTGTGTTATCTTATCTCATAAATGTATGACTGTAAGCCATGGCACAGAATTTTCCTCAGTATTGACATTCACTGTAATGTAAACCCATGTCATTGAGACTGGAGTATCTGGTAATGTATGACTGTGTGTATGTCTCAAACATGTAACCCCTTAAAAGAAGGGAGGCTGTAATGGTGATGATAACCATTAATAATTCACTATTCTGTGTGTTTAAGATTTAAATCATGGTGAAAGGCCCTGGTCAATTTATATCTCTGAGACATGGATGAGATGTTTAGACTCATGCAAGGAACTGTCCCAATGAGCCCAATTCTCTGTGTAGGATTTAATAGGAATCTACATTACCATCACTGCAACCCCATGTTAGGTTTTGAAGTAGATTTGAACAAGGGATCAACATCATGGCACAAGGATAGTAACCCATAAGTGCTCCGTTCTATAATACCAAAACAATTCAGGTCCTTTTATTCATTAGAATATTACTGAGTAACTGAATTTCTAGTTTTGGAGTCCATTCAATTTATATAAACAATTTTTGTCAGTGAACACAACCAGTAGTTTCAAATAAGATATCTAAACTTTAACCCAAAAGATCTATTGTCAGCTGTCCCTGAACCCTTCTCCTTTAACCAGCTAGGCTGGCAGATATATTTTAGGAGGAGATTCACAGACTGTTTTTCTGTGCATACTGTTTGTTTGGGAGGTCTGTCTTTATAAGCCTCTTTGATTTTTCCTAGTGAATCATCCTCTCCGCAGCAGTATGTTCTGTGTCCATCAGTGCGTGCAGAGGTTAACATTATTTTCTTTGACTCTCTGTAGATGTGGCATCAAGGCTTCACTCACACAAGTGAACAGGACCTGTGACAGCTGTCTTCATATCAAGAGTAACTACCTGGGTCAGCAGCCATTGTAATATCAAAGATAATTAACACAGATCAGGGCCAGGTGCATTACCAGAGTGTATATAATAAAGCATAAAATATTAAAACATTCTGTCAAGTAAAATACACAGATCACATTGTCTCTAGTTACACTATACATCTAACAACTGAAGTCTTTTTCTTCCTAGCCTTCACTGGCTCTGAACTCCAGTGGAAAAGTTATGATTGTCTATCATCTTTTAAACTTTGGTTTTGTTCCAGAACATGAGTACTGTGTGCACATCAGTTTTACATTATTTGAAGGCATGCTGTTGGTTCATCACCTCTCAGGCAGATGCACACCTGCTTTAAAAGTAACATTCCTAACTAGTCACCTTTTATGACATGCTTGTTAGGGAGGCAGTGGATCTAATTCTTGTTCCTCTCAAAATTGGAAATCGAACCAAAAGCTTAACGGAATGATCACTAAAGATGTCTAAGATGAATGGCTTCATCCTTTTATTAAAAACCATACAGTAACTCATCTGATGAGATGCAGTGAAACAAGCCAGGCAATAAATTGTCCCCATAAACTGTTTAGCCCTCATTATTTTTATTTATAATGGGACAACAATTATGAATTCCTTACATCACAAAACATTTTAACAGTTTTTTTTTTAAATATCAAAAGTTCAAACCTTTCTTTTCCGTTCAACTGAGGGTAGGAAACTTTATAAAAAAACTGGTCAGGCAATAACCCAAATTCATCACCGTGGTCTAAATGCTGCTTGACATCACGTGCGAGTGCCCGCTGCTCCTTGGAGTTCTGTGTGCGCAGGAAGCACGGATTAGTGTGGGTCTGAAATTATATACAAGCGCACCATAAATAAACTGAAATACTTGGCCATATGAAACATTTCACTCCCAAACACCAATATTTTGGGTATTATATTTTTTGCTTACCCCATGACGTCATGGAAGACAGTCAAATAATTAAAAGGGTGGTAAGGTGAGATTTTCTCCATGAATACATGAACAGTATTGTACACCAGCCAATTGGGCATCAACAAGCAGCCGAGTGTGCACCAACAGACAGAAATATGCCCCACCAAAAAACAAGAAGACCACACAACAGCAGCACACTTGCACCCCTTGAAATAGTGGACTGTCCAGTCAGCTGTGGATTTCCCATGGATTCCATCTATTTGGGGTAAGATATTATTAAAGCACCAAAATTTGGCACTGCCATACATTACAAAATCCCAGAACTGTCACTTTTTTAGCCTTACTATTTAAAAGCCAGTCCCTGCTATGCTTATATATTAGCTCTGGTACTGTTTTCAGAAGGGCCAGATATGGTTATATTTACTAAAAACATAATTTAGGGAGGTTTTCTTGCAAATAAAAAATATTTTAAAAATAGTTTTCAAGTCATTATGATGTCATAATTTGCTTTAAGCCTTCAGTGGCCGTTCACTAACAATCGTTTTATGAGTCACGTACAAATTGTCATTTGGGTCTAAAGGGAGGTTATCATTTAACTCTCCCCACTGTTTTTAATTCAATGATTACTCCCCTTCATATATTGGACTGTTTTGCATTCATTTTTACAATGGTATCGACATTTGAACATTCAATGAGAAACAGCACACCTAACATTTAAAAATTGCCTAGAAAAACCCCACAAATAGTCAACAGCAAATGCTTCACTTGGTTTACAATTACCTCTAAAGGATACAAAACTAATTTTTAATTTATATATTTATATCCATAATTTTTTTTAAATGAAAAATGTATGTAAAGATATTTTTTTTTATTATTGACCTGTGTAAAACAGCAATGGATGGGATGTTTCCTGGAAGAGACAGGGAAAGGCAGGCATGATGGTGTACAAAAGATATCAAGGACACCCTAGACATGAAATTTCAGGGGGTAGAGAAGTTGGCAGGGGACTGAGTGTGGCTATCTGACGTTTCATGATGAGAGTGACATTCTGCAGAGGACCTGTCACATGACTGTTATACTATTAAAAAGATGCATTTTAGGGGGGGGGGGGGGGGGGGGGGGGGGGTTACTTATAGAAAAAAATGTGAAGCAAACATGGCCATCACGATAAATAGCAGGGTTTTTTCTGGCTTTGCATAATGGTACTCAATACCGGCACTTCTTTTTTTTTTCAGCACTACTGGTTTCAGATCAGACCAGCAGGTGGGTTGCCTCTATGAACTTGCATGTTAGTTGCAGGTCCTTCATGGTTACCCACAGCTTGCTCTGCACACTTTGCTCTTGAGGCGAGATGTCTTCAGAATGTGCTTAGGTGTTTGTGGGGATAGTACAATATTTATTTTATGCATGTGGTAGTTGAGCCTGCAGTGTCCTGTTTGTAGACGGAAAATTGTTGTATGTTGCTTTCTGTTGAGTTTGCTGATAGGGTCTTGTGAATGTTCACTGTTAGTTGGTACTCTCCATAATTCCTTGCATTTTTCTTTGATAAGTGTTCTGATTTCTGGCGTGTTGTTTCTACTTTGTTCCATTTTTTGCAAGGCTGTCTGCTAACTCATTTCCTAGTATGTCGCATTGAGCCGGGATCCACTGGAGTAAAATTTGATTTTGTGTGTGTGTGTGTGAGTCTGTTTAGATGGCGAGTCAGTTCTCTCTCTCTATGTTGTCTTGTGGGTCCCTCTGACTTACCTGGAGGACTTACATGCAGCCACAAACGAAAACAATTTTGCTGTTTTTAATTTTTCTTTCCTCGTGCACTTTGGCTTGAATCAATAATTGCTCTGAAGTTTGTTGAGAGTCTTCCGGAGGCGCATGATGTTTCTACTGTGGTCCCATCTTGCAGCATGAGGACCGATTCAGTTCCTCCGCATTTTTCTACTCCCTCCAAGGATCCATCGGTGTATACTTGTGTTCATTTGGGTTTTGAATAACAGTTGTAGACATGCTCAAGGATCTTTGCATGCAGTACTAGGTTACATTCTTCAGCTCTTTGTGTCTGTGCTTAGAATTGTTGTTGTGACTGTATAGTTAGGCTGTATGCATGGATCATTTCCCATGTTGAAGGATCTTTAGAAAGGATGTCACTGTTTTTTGTTTAGTACAATTTGGTAGAAGGTGAAAACTGTTGTCTTTTCGGCCGGTTTTAAGTTATTTTGTATTCGGTGCATGGGGTTGTTGTTCATGCGTTTAAATTTGTTGGGTAAGCACCTTTTCTTTCCTTTGAAGGCTCAAGCTCTGGAGGTCAGAAGTTGCCTCCAGCTCATGGACTGGTGTGCTTCTCATACCTCCAGTGATGATTCTGAGACCAATGTTCTGTATTTTGTCCAGTTTGTGTACGTACGTATCCTGTGTATACTTGTCGTACAGCGTTGGCATCTGCACCCCAGCTTGTTCCAGTAAGTTTCTTCATAAGTTTGAGCCTCAGGGTAGCTTTTCTTTGGGTGTCTCCAATATGGGGGCCCCAGGTTAACCTTCTGTCGAATTTTACTCCCAAATATGTGTGGGGGTTTTCCTCTTTTGGAAGGATGTTGCCTTCTAGGTACAGATCAACTTGTTCTGGCTTTGTGGAAAGAGAGAAGAGAGCTGAGACGGTTATGGTATGATTCATTGTGACTACCCAAGAGTCTGTGCATTTCTTAACTGTATTTATAGCTTCCTAAATTCTTGTTTTAGTTGTTCCCATATGTTCAGCTTGGGTTCATATGGCCAGGTCATCTGCATGTATGGCCTTGTGAATGTGAGTTGTAAACTATTTTGAGAGGTCACTGATGAAAACAATAAACAGGGTAAAAGATTCCTGTGCGAGATAAGAGGTTTGGTCATCAGTGCTTCTGTATCCCCTGAAGCCTGATTGGCTGTCATCCAATATCTTGTTTTCTTCCAGGAAATTAGGTAACCTGTTGTTCACTAATCTTTCCATGGTAGTTTAAGAGGCTTATGGGGTGGTAATTGAATTGTTTTTGTAGGGCTTTTCTTTCTTGGCTATGGAAACTATTTCTGCCTCATTCCATCCCTTAGGAAGAAGTCCCTGGGCCCAGGATTGATTTATCAGCACTTCTGTGATAGACACTTTGTGTGAGTACTGGCACATATTTTTTTAGGTCATTACTGGCACTTCTATCTTTAAAAAAAATCCCTAATAAAAAGTATAGCTGAGAACCTTATAACTTAGCAAGGACACAAAGATCAGTGATAGCATGTAGAAAAGGAATGAATTTATTGTCTAGGACAAACTTTATGTACTCTTTTGCTGATGTATCAGCCAAAAACTTGGGTCTGAAGGAAGATAAAAAAAACTAGACAGGTATAAAAAGGGACAGAAAATTAAATAGATGAAATATACATTTGAGAGAGAACAGGGGGGAGGAGTAAATGAATTTTAAAATATATGTATAATGGGGAAGTAGTCTGACAAATGAAAGAAAAGTGCAAAAGAGGAAGAAACGAGAGGATGAGGATATAAGCAGACAGTGAAAGTAAGAGATAGATACATGATTGAGAAAGAAGCAGAAGGAGAGAGGAGAAGTAAAAGAAAAAGGCAGACATAGGTGAGAAATGAGACACACACATAAATTCACAATGTGACAGAGGCATAAAGAGAAACAGTAGACAGCTTGAAGAACTTACCGGAGTAATATATAACTTCCCATCAGAAACTTCGAGCAAAGCATGGCTTCTGGATACTCTTTTATCAGTCACCTGGGTCACAGATTTAACACATGATACCTTTCTCTCTCCCTACATGCTTATAAGATAAACACCTAAACTTTGTTAAGTTCATATAATTTGCTTAACCTAAATGTTGGCTCTTCAGACAGATAAAAAGAGCACTGAGGAAGTCTTGAAAGAAACTGACTCACGAAGAGAACTAATTGCCCACATCAGAAAGAGACAATCTAAATTTTTTTCATGTGATAAGAAGGAAAAAACTGAAGTACATCAACACCGCGAAAGGAGGAAAGTTTGAAGGAGAGGATAGGCAGAAGGAGGCAGAGAGAAAGGATGCTGGACAGTCTGACATCATGGCATGGAGGATCAGTAGTGTCAACGTTGACTGAAAGTACACAAGACAGAAGATTGTGGATAGACATGACTACTAATGCCACACGGCATGGACTTCAAAAATATGCTGGCAGCCTTTTAGCAGTGTTGAAACAAGAAAAGGACCAGTAGCACATCAGGCATTTGATGCTAAACATTTTTACAGATCAATCAGAATTTGGCAAATAATATACGTTTTTTCCCCATTTGCCCTTACAATGCCCTTGCTCCCATAGTTGTTTAGCAGATATCTTTCTTAAACCGCTGACATTTTGCTTAAAAGTAACTGCTCTCAAGTGGTACCCAATTTTTATAGTTAGGTAAATGTAACAATTTGTCAGCTAAAATCAGCATCCAGGCATAACTTTAGTCTCTCACTGCACATGCCACAAACCTCTCAAAGGACAGAACTACAGATGGCATTCAGCTCGCAGTATACTGGAAATGACGGAATATATTTTAAACATTAATGGTCACCGAAATTAACCTATCCATGGCAAATCGTATGTTTCAAATGAACTCTTGTTTAATTTTTGATTTACCGCTGGCAAATTTAAAAATTCTGGCTTTTGTTTGTTTTTTTTAACCAATTTTACGAGTTTTCCAAGATCCTGGAGGTAAAAGTTGCCATTTTTCTAGGGTTTTTCCAGTTTTAAGACCTGTTGTACAATGGTTTCCTCTGGATTTTAGACAGCATATAAGAGACACCCATCTCTAAACTTCGTCCAAAGAGACTTCGTCCAAAGAGACTTTGTTCAAAGACATAATTGTACTATGTTTGTTTACAGAATAACTGCGACATTTGTACAGTTTGGCTGACACATCCAACTTCTTCAAATATTTCTTGACCAAGTTAGTCTTCCTGGTTGGCGACAACGTGACCCAATCGTTATGTCATCACTGCTCTCTTTAAACTGATTCTTGTTTTGTATTTTCTTATTTAACTGACACTTGAAAAAAAAGACCTTTCTCATGGCTTCCGGAAAGTGGTACAAAAACTGTATCATGAAAGAGATTGGAATATCACAATATAACATTTTCACACAAAACAAAAGAGTATTGGATGCACTGCATACAAACATCATTATGGAGACGGCACAAAATTTAAATAAACCGACCCACTATCAACGTCACTGCCAGGCCAGTTTGATTTTTAAAAATACTGACACATTACTTCTTAGCATTCACTGGCAGAAAGTTCTGGTTGCTCGTCCACTTCTGGGCTTTGATCTTGTTCCAAAGCTTGACTTTTTCACGCATATCCATTTTACAGATCTGGCTCAACTGCATGCAGACTGTTGGTTATTGCTTTACATTAGGCACATGCACTGATTTTGAAGGGAACACTCCTAATAGTTGCCCTTTACAATCTACTGAATGTAAATTTGCCTAGAAAAACCACAACAGCAAAAATGCTGGTGATGGTTCTGCGATGTCCTGAAAAGGATATAAAGGATCTACAACTAATTTGTTAGGAGGCCACGGTTTTTTTCTTCAAATTCCCCCCACTGGCCAGAACCCACACAGGGATGACATGTTACTAACCTGAAGAAACTGCCCACGTCCGATAACAGTTGACTCATTGGGAACATTGATGACCAGGTCGCCACCAACCTCTTGCAGAGTAATATCTTGCATTGTGGTAAACTAATCCTGGATGGGTACCCAAAACAAAACATTTACACATATCATTGTTGCAAGATGTGGATTAATGTAAATGCCTACACCAGATGGTAGATCACTTGAAAGTAAGTAAAGGACGCTTTTCTATGGCTTCAAGTGTATTGGGTATATAGGGCTAGACCTATACTTCATAGACCAAAAAGCACTTGATGGGTGATGTGGTCAGCATCAAACCGACCGCCTTTACTTCCAGAACTGTATTTGGTACCCACTCGAGGGTGGGTCAACCTGGGAGCCAAGGTCATTTTTGAAAAAAGGTCCCCCTCCCCCTCAAGACCCGAACCCATAACCTTCAGATCCGCAGGCGAGCATCTAGCCACTAGACCATAGCGGCTCCCACTTGATTTTGTTTTTTAAAATAATGATAAATTAACTCTTACTTGACATTATAATCTCTTGTTTTTATTTATATATTTATATATCAAAAGCTAATTATTTAGGAGGAGGAGAAACAACAGTTGTTGCAAGGATTGCTGAAGATTCGTCTTTATTTAGCTGTAAACTCCGGCAGAAAGCTCTGGTAGTTGGTCCACTTCTGGACTTCAATATTATCCCAGGACTTCAGTTGTGTGTGCACATTCATTTTACAGATCTGGCTTATGTATACAGTCTGTTGGTTCCTTGGGGGGAAGGGGCCAGTGGGTCTATTCTTGTTTACTCTAAAACGGGGCACTGGATTTAATACAAATAGGGAAAAATTATGCTGCCGAGTGGTCTAGGATGACGGCAAGGTATAACTTCATTAACAGAATTAACCATGGACAGAGATGTGTGCAAGGAAATGAAGGTCTATGCCACATCTCAATGCACATGATGATGATGAATGGGGCTTTGGAAAAGGCAGAAAGCGTGTTCCCCAACCCTCTAGAAACAATGTGGCCAAACATCGGCCCAATGCAAACAGCCAGAAAGATGGCTGGGCTGATCGGTCGGCCCTGTGTAATAAAAGCCTTGATATTGGCTGGCAGGTTTTTGCATCAGCCAATCAGACTGCTTCGCGCATTTCTTGCACATGTGGGCTGTTCATTGGCAGCTTTCGAGAAAGTTCGATGTGTTCTGTGATTTTAGATAAGATTTTTTCTGGGGTTACCTGTGCCCAAAAAATGGTGAAAAAGACTTGCATCACAGCAACTGAAACATCGCTGGAGGCAGGAAAATGAGTAGAATTACTGTGAATTAATTGCTGTGAATTACGGAGTGGACACGGCACGAATCACAAAACACAGAGTTCAACATGGCGTCTAGACTCACATTAGCCTAACCCTACCCCTAATTATGTCATTCCCTCTTTTCCACTCCGTAATTGCACTGCAGCCAGGGGAGTGAACTCCGATTAAGCTGCCGTCGCCGTCCAAGTAGCGACCGTTATTGCAAGGAGTAGGAGAGCCTCTTAAACAGTAAGAATTAATAAAATAACTACATCTTATTTTTTTTATCCCCACCCTGTCCCAAATGCTAGGCTAATTAGAAACTGAATATAAATAGAACACAAGATTTTTGATTTCTCATCAACGGCTTTTCTTTTTTTTAAAACACATTCCAGGTTATTCCAGGCTTTTCAGGCGCAATTAATTTGCTTGAATAATCCTTCTGCTTCAAATCTACATGCAAACTCGAATAATGTTAAATAATTCTAGTTGTATCCTTAGCTCTAATTAACACGACTTTACTAAATCTATTTTATGTATGTGTATGGTTAATTAATTCCGAAAATGTATTTTAATATTTTAACTCAATACTCACCTATTTTAATTTAAAATGTGTACTGTACCTACACATGCGATTTCATGCAGTAACGATGTAAATAACTCAAATAAGGCATCTGCCTATCAAACATTTCTTCTAAGTGCATTATTAAGAAAATAATGTATGTATTATTTCAAATTATAAGACATTAACAGATGCAATACCCAGCAAATCCTGCCAATAAACCAGTGGCGGTCCAGTTTTCGTAGATTTCTAGATCGCCAGGATGAAAGAGACGCGTGAATATTTCTTATCTTTTCTCTTAGAGAGCTACTTACGTAAGAGTGCCATCCCTTGATCGTCGTTATTTGTCATTTTCATAGTAATTCGACGTTTGTAGACCCCTGCAATACAAATTAAAATAGGGAAGTCTATGGAATAACAGTATATTTTTCTTTAGACGAATCTCCTTTGAATAGCAAAAGTCATTTAATATACGAAAGTGTAAGAAATTAAGAATAACAAAGAATAAACAGCAAAGGACTCTATCACCATTGCTACATGGGGCATAATGCTAGGCTGATTTTTTTTAATGTTATAACTTATGTTAATCACAATTGACGTGACTGCACATTCCCGTGCATGCTCAGACCTCCGATGCAGCACCCACTCTAGTGTACCTCTACTGATTGTTCCCAGGAGAAGTCAGTTTTAGTGTCTCCTGTCTTGAAGTCTCGGACGGTATAGACGTGCTTCACCCCCGGTAACGCAATCGTGTTAGCTTCAGCGATTCAAAGTTATTCACTAACCAAATCAGTACAGCGTTGATAATATCAGCTAAATCAATGCTTCTTCCCGTTTGCATTGGTGCATTACTTGCCAGCTGGTCAGCTCTTACATTACCTTTTACTCCTGCATAACCAGGTTTGTAAATCGAGATGATTGAGGTTAGCTGCTTTCTACCCATTCGGATAGTAAACTACCAGCTGTGATTTTCTGAAGCATGCTAGTGGATTCTGAAACTAGTATAGCCGCTTGTTCTTCTACCCATACGAGTGATCTGAAATTAGTGGTTATGTCCATTGATAATTTTTGTAGATCAATTGATTTCCGATGGGTGATGTAGTCAATCTAATGCAACCCGTCTTTTATTATTATTATTTATTATTATCTACTTGAGAGGCAAGGGACCAATAATCTGCATACAAATCAACAATATCACATCAACCAAGACTTTTCGCCGGGGTTTACAGCCGGTGAATGTAAACATTACTGTTTACTATTTATTACAAATACGCCACTCAGTATACGTCTCGCCTAGCACGTAAAGCCTATCAACAGTCTTGGTATAGCGAAAAAGAGCACTCGCTGCATGCTTATGACACGTATGCAGTAACTGTAGTGTGAGAGCTAGCATAGAGATCACTTTCTATACCACCAGGACATCACACAAGCGATAAACACCCGATGACATAATGTGCCACCATGTGGATGAGGATCACCGTGGAAAGGTCCCAGAAACCGCGTTCAGCCAATTGGCCATATTTATGGCCTGGTTATATTGCGGCCCCTGGCAAGAGCCAGAGTGGGGCTTCAAATAACGAAAATTTTCATCATAAAAAGGACGGCAAATATAAGTTTATATATATATATATATATATATATATATATATATATATATATATATATATATATATATATATATATATATATATATATATATATATATATATATATATATATATATATATATATATATATATATATATATATATATATATATATATATATATATATAATAGGCCCTGTGTAGCTGTTATATAAATTTGATTAGGCTTGACGTCAGCCAAAAACCTGGGGTTCGAAAGTGATACATGAGAGGGAAGCAGCCCATCACTATCTTAGGCTTCTGCTACTCAGACGGGTAACATGTAATCTGATTTTCCCGTTCCATTCAAGGGTTAGCGCCACGCGGGATAATGTGTGTAGGCAGAGATAGATTCCGTCTGTTGTAGGGTATTCTCGAACACGTTGTGTATTTTAATGCGTTATTATTTGTATTATCTTAGCTTATGTTCAGTGAAATCAACATATGTTAAATGTGATGATTATAGTTCCCATTGTTTGATTAGAGTTAGGGCTTGGTATTTATTGATGCCTATTTTTGCTGTTACTGCTGTCTAGACTGTATACACAAGATATCATGTCTGGGCTAGAATATTTTTCTAGTCCCTGCCTAATGAACTCCCCCCCCCCCCCCCCCCCTAGGGTTTTCGCGTCTAGCACAGGTGGCGTCGTCGGGCAGGATGTGTGGCCTCAGTTTGTTTTGTGTCTAGTCTAGTTAGTGCAGGTAATTATAGCGATTCCAAATTAGTCCAAATTAGTGTTGAATGGCGCCCATGTGTGTGGCTTTTTATCGCAGATTTTGTGTATGTGTTGCCATTCAGGTTCTCTGACAGTTGTTGAGTTTATGTATTTTTTCAGTTATTGGTAGATAGGGTAGCTAGTAGTTCTCCTTCAGTAGGTGTGAGGCTTGGATTTAGAAATAGCTAGCTGACCCCGCGTGACGGATTCAGTTGAACCTCCTAAGCAAGATTGACGAGAGCACTCGTGCGATTAGTAACGTGCACCATGAAGGTAGTTCTTTTACCTTGGCGGTCGAAGGGTCCTGTTTGCCAAACAGACCAGGGTACAGGCATGTCATTTTGTTGCCACGTCTCAGCGAGTGTCAGACAAGAGCTGAAGTTGCATCAGACAGGGAATATAAACGATATGATAGAAATTATACAGCACGTGTATGGGGAACATCAAAGCGTCTTTGAACTAGCATCTTCGTTTTCACAGAATAAATTGAACATGACACCATGGAATAAGTCGAAGCTCAGACATAAGTTCATCGTACAACTGCGAGATACGATTTGTAGAAAATTAGCACAAGAACGAGGTTCATGGCACACGGGTGTAACCCATAAGGGATCTGTTCTTCTTCTAACCCAAGCTTGGGTCTGAAGAATCTCAGCGCAGTGCACGAACTTCGTTGCACTGGCGAGGATCCTGAAATACTTTGGGTAGATTTGTAACTCCAAATTTTACCTGGCCAGCTCTTTTCGATTTCCAGCTGCCGATGAATGTTTTTACGTGCGCAACAATACACACGGGCGTCAGGTCTTACTACCTAGCTCTTTTAGGACGGCATTTTTTCTGGGGTTTGGACAGCATTAATTTTAAGCGGAATTTTTTTAGTGCAACACGACAAAGCTAAAACCTTCCTGAAGAAAAAATATGGGCTGTATCGGGACTTATAATATATCAAATTAAAGATAAATGAGTGCAGAATAAATCTAAACTACTTAAATGTCAGTATAACATCAAAATATTATTAAATATTAAAATCACACAACATTCAAGGATGTTAGACACAAGGGACAATTTTAAACATAAAAAATTGTGTGCTAACCTTATTTTTTACTGGTTCAATAACACTGCTATCCAACTCTAAGAATACACATGCCTTCTCTGTTCAATTATGTATTAGCTAGTCGGTATTTGAAACATTTAATTTAAATACTTTGGATATTATAATCATTTTTGTATGACATGTCAATTTTCACAACAACCGAAAATCGGAAAAACAGCTGATCGAAACATTGATCTCATTGAAATATTTTGTAAAATTTTCATATCCTAAACTAAATTATCGCTAGTAGATGTGTCCCTTAGATATCAATCATAATATCATGACTGTTGTCACCATCTGGCAGGGATTCATCAACGATAGAGCAGTATGGACAGTTCTAGACCTTTTCCCTTATCATTTAGTATAGAAAAATCACGTAAAAATTGTATCCCATCTAAATATTTTTTGTTAAATCCCAAAATAATGCACCGACCACGATGAACATGGCAAATGAACGTAAATCCTGTTGTTAATCCTAATTGTTAAAAAACTTGTTCATAAAAGATCGTGTACCCTACAAACGGAACAAAATTAGAGTGTCTCTATTATGAGACAGTAAACTGGCTTTACGTCTTTAAGGGATAGACTTAAGCGCCAGTATACTGGCTAAACGTCCGTGAAGAGCGAAATACCGGGGGACATTACTAGAAGTCCACGGGAAAAAAATCCCAGCCCTCACCGGGACTGGGACCCCTAGCACTCGAGGCGGACACCAAGCATCAAGACACGCAGCCCCCCCCCCCGCTCCCCCCCCCCCACCATATATATATATATATATATATATATATATATATATATATATATATATATATATATATATAATTTGGTAACGGTAATCAATAGCGAGAACATGTCCATTATTGTGTGGATTTCTTCCTCCCAGGCGGCAATACTGCCAAGAAAGAAAGGCTGTAACAAGTTTACTGAACCCAAGGAAGGCGAGAACAACGGGTTATATTAGAATACTGTAGTTTGAATAATGAGAAGACAGACGTAATGGTGGTATCAAAGAAACAAATTATTCCTAAATGTGTAATAAAAGTTAATGGTGTTATTTTAAGACAAGTACAGAAATTTAAGTATCTGGGCACATGGATAACATCAGATGGAAGATGCATAACTGAAAAAAGAAACAGAATTGGACAGGCAAAAACTGCATTTTATAAAAATGAAAAACATCTTGTGCAATATATCCTTGTCATTGAGAGTTAGAAAAAGAATTCTTGCTTGCTACATACATCCAGTTTTAACATATGGATGTGAATCCTGGACAATCGGTAGGCAGGCCAAACAATTTTTAGAGGCCTCAGAGATGTGGTTTTACAGAAGAATGCTTAGAATACCTTAGACAGCCAAAAAGAGCAACCAAGAGGTTTTAAAAGAGGCGGGAGACCGAAGACAACTTATCACTAACATCAGAAAGAGACAGTCATCATTTTTTCGGCCATGTTATGAGAAGAGGGAAAATAGAACATGTTGTGACCACTGGAAAGATCTGTGGAAAGAAGGATAGAGGAAGACAACGAGAGAAGATGCTTGACAGTCTTATTGCATGGCATGGAGGTGTGTCGGCACACGAACTGATACATGCTGCAGGAGATCGCGGATTATGGAGATTATTATGATCGCCCACGCCCGTCGGCAAGGCACCTGATGATGATGATGATGATGATGATGATGATGATGAGGTTACTGTTATAGAAATGCTCAGAAGACAACTGGTATGAAAGCTTTGACCCGCATGCAAATAGTGAAGCGATGTTCTATAGTTAAATAGAGAAGAGCGAGCAAGACTGATGTGGGAGATCGGATTCACTCTGATCATAAATTGTTATAAAAGGCAGAGTTCAAGTGACAACGAACAAACAGACACCTATATTAGATGTTAGGGCTTTTTCAATTGATTGCCCAAGTGGTCAGTATCTGAAAGACTAGCAGTAAAGTAAAGTAAAGATCCCTTTTCACGCCTTTTAGGCGTATCGGGCATATGGGAAGAGCGCCCATATTTTTACAAACCATCAGCACTCGGTGGGTAATGTGGTCAGCATTACGTCGGCTGCCTTTATTTTCCCAGGACAGCCCATCCTGGTACCCATTTTAGGCTGGGTCGACCTGCGACGTACCATGATAAAAATCCACGCAGCCAGCAGTGGGTTTCGATCGCGGTACGCTGGATGACGAGTCGGACTCGCAACGCCTAAGCCACGGACGCCGCCGGAAAAGACTAGCAGGTTTGGTTAGAAAACACGAATTTGACGGGAAACAAGGTGATTGACATAAGATAGTCTCGGGTAGCTGAGCCCAGCAAAGGAGAAAACCAGAACAGAATTGATACACCACAGGAGAAAAGCAGAAAAGAATTGATACACCACAGGAGAAAAGCAGAAAAGAATTGATACACGACAAGGCAGATGTGGTCAAAGTCCTTTAGAAACACGTAACGAAGCAGAAAATAAACTAGATTACTATGGCCTGGACTACGGTCGGACCATAGGGTCCGACCGGCTCACTACACTCAGAGAAAAGACAAGACGGATAAAAACTAGACCACGACCGGTACCATTAGTGGTAGAACTCTGCGCTGGCTGCTGAAGACGGAGTGCGTACTGGAATGCCCCCGAGTGCTGTGATGTCAATTCTTGACTCACCTCAACTCAGCTCACGAAGTGGTAGGCCCTATATCTAATTGAACCGCATGACAGAAGTTATTCCATTGTCAGATAACAATAGGCATCAACGTATTGCGTAAGTTACCGCATGCATTTTTAATGGTTTCTGGAAATAGGTATAATATTCGACCATGTGAGGAAAATGGAAACTCTGCGGCTCCCCACTCTCTGTGGGAGCCGGTATCAGAAAATTCTTGTCAGATCGATATTAATTTTTAAAATTCGGTAAACGTAAGCGATGTGAATTCTTAGAAATATTCCGAACAGTTAAAAGGAAAGACAAGAATGTGAATATGAGCTGAAGAGAAAGACATGAAGCGGCTTAGACGTGTGTGTGTGTGTGTCACTGTAAACTTAATTACAACGTCATCATCATGTAGCAGGTCCTTTGCAGAACGTCGCTCTCATCACAGGCTGCCTGAAAGAAACTCGGTCTCTCGCCAGTTCTCCCGCCTAGTGCATTTTCACACTCAAGGAGTCACTTATATCCTGTGCCCATCTTCGTGTCGGTCGGCCCCTTCCCCTCCTTCCTGGTACCATGCCTTCTACTATAATGTTTTTCCAATCCGTCGTGGCACTTGACATGACCAAAATATTTCAGCTTTCGAGAAAGGATGCTATTTATTAGCAAATCTTCCTTGATGTTAAGATCTTTTAAGATGTCAATATTTCTCATCTTCTTTGTCTAAGATATTCTGAGAATCTTTCTATAGCATTTCAGCTCAAAAGCACCTATTCTTTTTCTTAAGGACGTAGGAATGATTTTAACAAAACTGAATATAATTATACGATCACTCTTGCTATGGAAACTCATCTGATATAATTATAGACTTGACGTGATTTGTGGCAGTTAAAACAGACATGTATGCAGTGACATAACAATAACAAAGACGGATGACAGTACAAATACTCTAAGAAATGTTTCAAAAGTGGGTGAGAAACACGTCTAGTTCAGACAATAAAAAATCATTCTCCTACACGAATCTCTACCTACGACAGTGCGCCTTCAAACAAAAGAATAGTTTTTGTGCCGTGTTTCGCAAACCGCCATTAGGTAGACATACAGGGAAACACTTTTAACCAAAAAAAAAAAATTTTTTTTTTACTTAAGATACGGAAGACAAAAGAATACTGGAAAACACGACAAAGACTTCTGCCATGCCAGTTTCTATATTGCAATCACACCATTGTTCTCTTACTTAGAATATAACGTCAACCAAGACCCACGAGACGATGTGGAAAATCAAGGGGAAGAGAAATATGCGAGTGAATGGGAAGGAAAAATCGGTCACCATTTTGCGTTGTACACGCTTTTGCGTCATCCTGCCCCAGCGATTTTCTGAGCTAGGGGATTCCCCTAACCAATTTGAAGCCATAAGCGGCAGCTGATTGGACGAGGCGGTCACGTGAGAGAGCAGACTTGTGGGTTAGTGGCTGAAGGATCCGGGGCTGGTGGAGTATCAGTAATGTGCACTACTGGAAATTCCAGCCCAGCTTGATATAACCGCTGCCTGCGTCTTTCTCTGTGGTTTTAGCTGTATAAAATTCGATGCTACGTCCATCAGACTTGGTGATTCTTAGATTATAAGTTGTGCTTTCATTTCGCCAGTCGCGGTTTCAGTACGGGATACAGTAAAGAGTAAAGTTGTTAACTGAGGTATACTAATCGTCTGTTCAAAATGGAAGATGTCGAGACCGACGGGGATCGTAGTTCTAGATATGCAGATGATGTGCGTTTGCGATTTAATTCAGATGTGTCGAGTAAGAAAGTGAACGTTGACGAGCGAGTGGATTCTGGTTTAGGGTCGCTGGGTTATTGTTCTGCTGATTTGAGTAGCCTGTCGTTTGTTAACCCAAGTGACGAACAGCAGGAAAAGGCGTCAGGTACCCCCACAGATGTTTCGTCGGTGGAATGTTCGCTTTCCAAATTGAATATTTCCAATAACAGCCGTAATGACTGTGACCGTTTTGATTCAGGACTTGAAGAAAATGAATTAAAAAGTGAACTTTCAGACATTTCCAAGCCCGAACCGTACCATTGGGTATCGCCACATTTCTCACCAGAAGAGGTTGTGCTTATGTTTACAGATGATGAAGATGGAGACAAGTAAGCATATTTTGAATTATTTAATTTTATTACTCTTTGAGCAAGTATAAAGAAGGTCTACTTTTACATTTAATATCTCTTTGTTTTAAATATGGATCTCATAAATCCATGTTCTTTGTGCGTGCACTAGGGAAGGTCGTCATTTGTCAATCCTGAGCTGGACGTGGCTATATTTAGGTGTTGTGGAAAGTACTTGCTACTAAATTTATCACATCCCATTCAGGGCCTCAGACGTGGAACGAGGGCGGGACTTCGTGACCTATATGCGGAAATCCCAAACTGGTTTTAACGTGATTTGCAAGGGGATTTCCCCAGTGTTGACCTATTTTGTAAAAGCCATATGGGGGTTTCCATGGTACACCCACTTTTTGGTAGGCGTAGACAAGCTGGGTTTTATTTTATACCTACCACGAACCCATTGTGCTTTTTGTATTTGAGCATGGTTTTACCCAACTTATCATAATTATGATTTTAAGATGTTTAATAAATCTGTGCTTTGACTCTACTTTTTAATTGAATGAGTCTTTATGTTGGCATGTAAATATATATTTGATATTTTATATATATATATATATATATATATATATATATATATATATATATATATATATATATATATATATATATATAGACTTTTGTCGACACAAAATTGTATCTGAGGGCCTTTAATTTTCGAACACCACTCCCTCCTCCCGCCGACCCCGCTTTTTTTTTAGGGGGGGGTGGTGGTGGGGAAGGGGGATATGAAACACTGCTTTCTTGGCTGAAGATAAATCTTCTCTCTTCCCTCCCTCCCTTCCCCCCCCCCCCCCCCCTCTCTCTCTCTCTCTCTCTCTCTCTCTCTTTTTCTCTCTCTTTCTCTGTCTTTTAAACCTGTTGCACTTATATGGATAATGTTTTGCTTTAGCTGATCATTAAACTATAGATTATAATTTTAGTAAATCGGAATGCTCCCTCTGGGTTTTTCTGACACGAAATGATTTACCATCAGTCATGCTAGTTAGAGGTAAAATGGCTTTACCTTTACCATCCAGGCCATTTTTGTTGGTATAACTACATAAAAGGACCCCTTGGCTGTTTTACAATGCACAGCTTTTGTAATTGGTTACCAAGGGTCGGGTAGAGTTGGCAGCCGACATCCAATAAAAATCTTGCAATTAAAAAACTTGAGCCAATCAAATGACTGCAGAGACTTTATGCGAGTTAGTAGTGGGTCTTGTATACTCCATTGGGGCATCAAAAAAGTGAAAGTTAATTTCTCAGGGTCAGCTTTGCCTCTTGAAATGGGCGCCAGAAACGTTTTTGTTATGTTAAATATGACTGGCAGGATACTGACCTGTCAAGGGGTAGTGGATCTAACAATTTGTCTGACATGTCCATAATATGCTGCATTGCATAGAAACAAGATTTGTAAACGTTTGTTTAGTACTTTACGTTTTAGGTCCCGTTTTCGGGAAAAAGGGGGGGGGGGGGTGTAATAAACCCACTGCTCCTGTACAAACATGCTGTCTTCTTCAGGTTTACCAGCTGTCAACGCTGGCGGATAGTTCTAGTTTTTCGTCCACTTCTAGACATTGTTCTTGTCCCAGAACTTGAATTTTGCATGTGCATTCGTTTTACAGATCTGGCTTATTTGTATACAGACTGTTGGTTCCTCTACTCTCAGGCAGGTGCACTCTGACTTTGAAGGAATCACCTGTAATTAGTTCAGCTTTTACGGCATGCTTGTTCATGGGCATTAGGTCTACTATTCCCCCTCTCCCCTCCAAAGCCTAAGTTGAAACCACAACACAGTGTACCAGCTAGAGGCAAACGCATAAAGAAAACTTTATTACCCTCCCCCACTCCCATTTACAGTGAGTAGGAAGCTACTTTATTGTGGTGGCTAGACAATTGCCTGCAGATCTAATGGTCATGTGTTTCAATCCGAATGGAGCCGATCTTTTAAAAAAATATTAATCTTGGTTTCCTTTTCGACATAGCCTCAAATGGATACCAGGTGAAGTCCTGGGTAGTAAAGGTGACCGGCATTGTTGTTGACCATATCACCTATCGTAAATCTATCCCTATATGCCCAGTATGCTTGAAGGTATAGAAAATCGTCCTTTTTGTTTCTATATGTTACCTTTATATATATATATATATATATATATATATATATATATATATATATATATATATATATATATATATATATATATATATATTGTTTATAAATATTTTTAAAATCGCGAATAGTCTTAAGTATTCTTGTCAAACTAGTTTATTTAATTATTGGTTATTAATTTCCACAGTCACTTACACTTGAGCATCATCCATGGACTTCCTGAGATAACTATGCAGATCATCGGTCTGGTCCCAGACAAAGAATGGCTGAACCACACCAACAACCTGGAACAGACACCTTTGCACCTGGCGGTGCTCACCAGGCAGGTTTCCATAGTCCGAAGACTTTTGTGTGCGGGTGCTTCGGCAGATGTGCGGGACCTGAATGGAAACACACCGCTACATAATGCCTGCAGGCTGGGTTATGAGGATGTTGTACTGACACTGTTGAGACCTGTAGAGCACAAGGAGACCTTGCAAAATCAATACAATGTCCCATACCAGAGGCAGTCTCCGAACCTGGAATGCAGGAAATTATGAAGGTGGGTGTGTGCGTTTGTGAATTACTACATTTTAAAAATCCTGTTATTTTAGAGTTAAATATTTCTTCACAATATAGGTTAGCTACAGTGCACCCAAGGACCTTTTTTGCCCAGAAATGACCTTGGGTCCTGGGCCGCCACAGCCTTGAGTGGGTAGCCAGGTAAAGTCCTGGAAAGTAAAGGTAGCCAGCTTGTTGCTGACCACATCACCCACCAAGTTCCGATTGCTCGGTAAAATATAGGGCTAGCTCTGTATGCCCAATCAAGACCCCCTCCAGCTGATGGGCTATGCTGCTGGCGTCACCAAACCGGGCTAACAATACGTTAGTGCAGCGTTTCTCAAACTGTTTTTGTTGGGCCAAAAGAAATTTGGCGGCACACCTGCCCCTAAAGCGGTTTGAATACTTAAGAAAAGAAGAAAAGAGTGCAAATTGAATGTCAAGCAGATGTGAAAAAAATCTTGATTATTGCCGCGACGCCTCTGACATACGCTCGCATCACCCAGTTTGAGAATCTCTGCATTAATCTGATTTGGTGACGTCAGCAGCATGGCCTGTCAGCTGGAGCCGGTCTTGGCCTAACAAGCCTAAAACGGAAAAAGTGGGAAAATTTTAAGCAAGAGTGGTAGAGGAAAACAGAGACTGACATATATAAAAACCTAAAAACGGCTGGACAACAAATAATAAGCAGCTCTTCTTCCATGTCTTCTCCTTCTCCCTACGTGCTTTCTTCTGCTTCATGACTTATTTCTTCTCTCACTTCCTGTTTTTTTCTCATTCTCTTCCTCCTCCTCCTCTTGTTTCTTCTCCCTTTTCTCCGAATTTTCTTCTTTTTTCCCCTCTTCTTCTCCTCCATCTTTATTTATCTGGGAAGTTTGAAAGAGACGTAACAGTCGATTGAAACCTCCTTCTAATTAGCATATTTAATTGGTCTTCATTTCTCTAAGATTGTTGTAAGCCATGCTAACCTCATCAGAGTGCCAGATGATGGAGACTTTTGTAGAGTCATGATGTTATCCTCAGTTTCTGCTCTAGGTTGAACATCTGGAGAAGAAGAATGTAATTCACTGGAGTAATTTCTGACTAAATTAACTAAATCTAAACATTCTCTGGAGTAATTTCTGACTAAATTAACTAAATCTAAACATTCTCTGGAGTAATTTCTGACTAAATTAACTAAATCTAAACATTCTCTGGAGTAATTTCTGACTAAATTAACTGAATCTAAACATTCTCTGGAGTAATTTCTGACTAAATTAACTTCTTCTCTTCTTCTTTCGTTCGCATGAAATAAATTGTCTATATCTGCAAAGCTGTCTCTAGTATGAATTTCACTGTCTTATGTAATTCACTAAGCGGCCCGTAAAGTTTGACTTCCACAAGTGTCTCTTTTGGCCAAAGGTTTTGCCTGAAAGCGTTGAATCTGGGACAGTCTTGAAGGATGTGATCTGTTGTTTCAGGTGCCAGTCCACAAGTACACATGGCTGATTGGCCAATCTTAAATTTGTTGTACATGTGGGAGCGAAGTCGATTGTGCCCTGTTCTAAGGCGAAGGATAATGACTTGCTCTGGTCTGTCCATAATATGGTAATCATCTTGTGCCAGTTTCGGTGGCATTCTGATTGATTTGATCATTCTCTTCTTCTGTTGATAAGAGACTGGTATGTTAGGTTGTTCTTCAGTTGCACCTTCCTTAGCTAGTTTATCAGCTTTTTCGTTTCCGGGAACTCCACAGTGGGAAGGTATCCACTGCATTACTAATTTACAGCGGTTGCCTAGTTCGGATAATAGTGTCCGTATGCTTGGTAATTTTCCAGACTGGAGTGACTGAAGTACTGCTTTTGCATCTGTCAGGAATACCACTGGTTGTGAAAAATACCCTGTATTTAGTAGTTTCTCTACCGCTATCTTGATGGCTTGAACTTCTGCATCATAGTTGTGACAGTGCTTTCCCGTTGGTAATTTGGCTGTATCCCTGGTATTATTAGGATACTCAATGTACACTCCCGCACCTCCGTTTCTGACTGCGCTTTCTGCTGACCCATCTGTGTAAACACGGACCCAAAGGTTCTGCGGGTATTCATCATCAAGTAGACTGAGGGTGGCTGTTTTGCGCTGCACACTGTTTTGTTCTTCCTTGTCAAATACCCCTTTCACTTCAGTCTTGATGTGTATTGGAAACTTATACTCCTCTCTCCAGGGGGTCCGTTCTGGGACAGCATTTAAGGATCTATCAGTTGCAGGTAAATCAGTGGTTTGTCTGCCGAGCCGTTTGGCCTGGTGGATAAAACTACTTCTCTTTAGTCGTCCCAAAGCTAAATTTTGGAATCTTTCATTCATAGGGTGACTGGGCATACTAAGAAACTTTTCTGCTTGTAAAAGCATCTTGGTGTCTCTGCGTTCACTCAGTGCTTGGGTCATCCCCATTTTCTCCATCACAGCTATAGGTGTTGATTTCACACTGCCTGTGGTAACTCTGAGTGCTTGATTTTGCACTAAATTAACTGAATCTAAACATTCCCTGGAAATATTTCTGACTAAATTAACTGAATCTAAACATTCTCTGGAGTAATTTCTGACAAAAATTAACTCAATCTAAACATTCTTTAGAAACAGTAAATAATGTGAAAGCTCTTTTTAGGCCAGTGTAAATAAAGTGATTTTTTTTTTTTAAATGCCAGTGACTTATTGGTAATGTGTTGCTTCTCATATTTTTATAAACCAGTCTTCACTCTGTGCCAGTGATTCTCAATCTTCCTAATGCCAGGACCTTTTAATACAGTTCCTCATGTTGTGATGACCCCCAACCATAAATTTGTTTTCATTGCTACTTCATAACTTCAGTGAATATTCTTTTTGTATGGTCTTAGACGACCCCTGTGAAAGGGTTGTTCGACCCCCAAAGGGGTGGTGACACACAGGATGAGAACCCCTGCTCAATGGGATATGTGGTCAGCTACAGTATCATTTCCCATAATATTAGTTGGTCTTTACTTGAGGCAAGGCCAGCTTTGAAAAGAAAATCCCACTCAGTGGGGATTTAAACCCAAGACTTTTGCACAACAGGTGAACGCTCAGACACTGCGCTGTTGCTGCTCTAAAGAAACATTGATAGGGTTTCTGAATTTGCAAAATTGCCTTGTGCCTCTTTAGTTGTTGTTCAATGATGCAAAGTGACCTTGTGTGTGGATATCTTTAGTTGATGTTCAATGATGCAAAGTGACCTTGTGTGTGGATATCTTTAGTTGATGTTCAATGATGCAAAGTGACCTTGTGTGTGGATATCTTTAGTTGATGTTCAATGATGCAAAGTGACCTTGTGTGTGGATATCTTTAGTTGATGTTCAATGATGCAAAGTGACCTTGTGTGTGGATATCTTTAGTTGTTGTTCAATGATGCAAAGTGACCTTGTGTGTGGATATCTTTAGTTGATGTTCAATGATGCAAAGTGACCTTGTGTGTGGATATCTTTAGTTGTTGTTCAATGATGCAAAGTGACCTTGTGTGTGGATATCTTTAGTTGATGTTCAATGATGCAAAGTGACCTTGTGTGTGGATATCTTTAGTTGTTGTTCAATGATGCAAAGTGACCTTGTGTGTGGATATCTTTAGTTGATGTTCAATGATGCAAAGTGACCTTGTGTGTGGATATCTTTAGTTGTTGTTCAATGATGCAAAGTGACCTTGTGTGTGGATATCTTTAGTTGATGTTCAATGATGCAAAGTGACCTTGTGTGTGGATATCTTTAGTTGATGTTCAATGATGCAAAGTGACCTTGTGTGTGGATATCTTTAGTTGTTGTTCAATGATGCAAAGTGACCTTGTGTGTGGATATCTTTAGTTGTTGTTCAATGATGCAAAGTGACCTTGTGTGTGGATATCTTTAGTTGATGTTCAATGATGCAAAGTGACCTTGTGTGTGGATATCTTTAGTTGATGTTCAATGATGCAAAGTGACCTTGTGTGTGGATATCTTTAGTTGTTGTTCAATGATGCAAAGTGACCTTGTGTGTGGATATCTTTAGTTGATGTTCAATGATGCAAAGTGACCTTGTGTGTGGATATCTTTAGTTGTTGTTCAATGATGCAAAGTGACCTTGTGTGTGGATATCTTTAGTTGTTGTTCAATGATGCAAAGTGACCTTGTGTGTGGATATCTTTAGTTGTTAAGCAATGTTGCAAAATTATTTTGTAAATGTAGTTATTGAGCAGTGTTCAAATGGGTTTGCTTGTTCTATTTTCAGGGTTGACCTGTCTTCACCTGGCAGCCATAGGTGGCTATATTAACATAATGCAGCTGTTATTGAACGGGAAAGCCAACATCAATGCAACCGAGGGGAAAAATGGTCGAACAGTTCTTCATTTCGCCGCAGACTGGGGAAACACCACAATGGTGAAATTTCTGCTGTCACAAAGGAATATCAACCTGAATGTAAGGACATATGCAGGACTGACACCCATGCTTTTGGCTGTGGGGCGGAGAAACTCTGAAATTGTCAGTGAATTACTCAACAGCGGTGCAGCGTATGAAACTTTCTCACTAAACGATGATTCTGAGGATGATGATGACTGTGATGACAGATTGGTAAGCATTATTTTTGTTTCCTTTTTCTTTTAAAAGAGCTCTATTATTTTATTCTCGTCTTTTAGAATATATTTGTACAAATCCTAATTTTTTTTTTTAATGATACATTTGATGGATAAATTTTTTTCAAATTGTTTAAAGTGATCTTGAAATTGATTTAATAACAAATATTTTGAGTTCCATTTAATGAAATCATTTTTACCTCATCTTTTCTTTCACTAACATGTGCCTTTGAAGCAGCTGTTATGCATGGGATAACTTTAGGAAAACATTTTCCAAAGTTAAAATCCTTTAAAAAAAAAATAGAATAGAATTTTTAGCGTGAGTGTTTTATGCTTTTATACATTTTTTTGTTTTTATACTCTTAACATAGCTGATTACATCCCACATATTATCACAGATTTTTAGAGTACATTTATATGCTTGATCACTTATAATAATAGATCTGCAGGCCAAAAAATTGTTTGAACATTCATTGTTTGAAAATATTTGTCATATTTTGGGGGTGAAAAGGTTGAAATTGATTTCCTTATGTTTCTGAATGCCAGCGCTGTTTGCTGTTTTCTTATCAGTAGGGTTCTTTTGTAATATTCTACCCCACATAAGGTCACAGGACAGTCTAACATTTTAGAGGGTGGCAAGACTGGGTTTTCCGGCTTTCTGATGCTTTTAAACGACCCCAAAACATCTAGAGCTGGCCTTATCCCCAACTCGCCTAGGTCTCATGACTGCATGCAGGCTATCTACTACCCCCTGAAATATTAGTAGTAGCCTGAAATCTGATAGTGAAATGAAGTTTCGTGTTAAGGTTAAGGTTTAGTGGAGATGTGGTTTTGACTCCGATTCTGTCCGGCAGTTGGCACATTATTGACCTTCTTTAAGTGCTTTTCATCCTCCTATGAACATTCTTCTTCTATCTCTGCTATCTCCCAGTGGAATAGGGGCCCCTCATTCAGCTCACATGAACCTGAATGTAGACTTGTTCAAAGTTAGTTGAGTTTTGCATCTAGTCTCCCATGTGGTGCTCACATAGTGAATCTTTTTTTTTTTTAACTCCTGGCTGTGATGTTATTTAAATTTTTTGAGACTGAAAATGTAAGGCATAAAGCAACAAATGCATAGTATAGAATGAGTTCAACTAGCAGCTACATAGCAGCTACATCGTTCTTCATCATCATCATCATCATGTCATGTCCCTGCCAACTGGCATGAATGATCATGTTTTCCCCATCTTGCGATCTCATGCATCATGTATCAGTTTGCACACTGAAATCCTTCTGTGCCCTGGCAAAAGTTTGAACTACATGGATAGAAAGAGTTAATATTGGAAATGAATTACTTCCTAGATAATGGCTAACATTGTATATAAATGGCAAATGATGTTTAATTAACCTTCTTTGTTTTTTTTTTGTTTTTTTTTTCTAGGCAGAGGAATCAACACCCAACAGGCCACATCAGAATTCATCTCACAGACTCTACCACAGCAGTTAGAAAGTGAAGCAGTAGTTTATGAGAACAGTGGTATGACAGATTAATGTATGTGTCACCGACAGACCGGGCCCATCCCATAAGGCCCTGAACGGTTCTGCCACTCAGACTAGACCATACAAGATGATAGCAGTATAGATATTTCCAGTTAGGAACTTTTTTGCGTATGGAGACATTTTATTACTGTTTCATTTCCAACCTGGCAGAAAAAAAATTGAAACAGGATATATCTTCAGAAATAGGCAGAAAAACTGGCAACAGGTTTGAGATGTCCCAACAGCATGAGCAGGACATATTCTTAACTATCCTTTACGCAGCCCTTGAATACTGGACACACTCCATGACTATAAGATACACAGATTGTTGAGTTCACCCTTGCAAAGTTTGTGCCAATGCAAACCCCTAGAAATCAGGAGTTACGATCTTTCTGTGCAGCTGCAGTGTTTTTCACTAACGTTTTTGCTTGTAGCTAAATTGGCAGTTTAGCCGTTTCTCATTTCGTATGTTAACTTTTATGGTTGTGACTCTGTTTGCATAATACATAGATGGGGTAAGAACTATTGCCCATGTGATGTATATAAGAAACCGTTGCCGGAACATGCCAGGAATCTCTATGCATGTTTAACCTTCCTAGAAAAATACATAGATTTGAATTAATCTTGTTTAGGTTTCTTATATGCTTGAGATTATCTGAGCAAACCTCAACTTCATCAGAATTAATTTGTGATGTTCTTCTAATCCTAACGTAAGATAAGTTCCTTCATTTCGTTTTCAGGAATCTGAGAGATTAATTTCGTTAATTTCACTAGAAGGAACTTATTTCTTACTTGGCATGTCGAGAAACCATGTCTTTTCATTAGATGAACAACATTTTACATGTCAAATCTGTCTTCTGAACTTTGTAATTATGCTGCTCTTTAATTAAAGATATAAAGTAATTTTCTGTTATTCATGATGTGTTTTGAGTTTTTAGTGAGTTTCTTTGATATTGTATACTTTGCTTCTGATACCAACCATAAATTGCAGCATAGAAGTCAACCTCAAGAGTTTTAGCTTAGAAGTGTTAAGATGGCCCCTAAATTTCGATATCCTGTTTAGGCTTGAAAACTCTACTTATATGCTGCAGCTTATGAGTATTAACCGTGACAGCATGTGATCAAAAGTGGTGACAGTTTGTTGTGAGATAATGACAGAAAGAAAAAAATCCGAGTAATCAACTGGCTTGCTGTTGTATGGTAGTGAGTTGTGAGCAGATATAACTATGTTTTTTTTTTTTAAATACAAAGATGTTTAAGTGAATGTTAAATGAATACTTTGTTTGGTTTCTTCTTTCCTGTCCCCTTCTTCTTCATTGTTTAATTCTCCCGTATTAATAGTCACCCTGTTATTAACAGGGTTTGCGTCAATGGAATGCTACAAAGTGGACAGTCAGGTTATAAAAAAAAAACACATTTTGGTATCAGCCAAATGCAGCTAGTGTGCTGTTGACCACACCTCTCACTGTGTACCCTTTTATATATATTCTTCTTCTGCGTTTGCCTTTAGAAGTGTGGTTGACACGATGAGTTGTGGTTTACATCTAGGCTGGGATATCTATTCCTTCTGGCGCACCACACCCAGTTTCAGAAGATCCCTAATTAGTCACTTTCTACAACATCCTTGTTGGGGGACAATAAGACTAAACTAATGCTTTTTGATCTCCAAATTGGCTTCAGAACCCACATGGAGAAAATATGTCTTTAAAAAAAAGAAATAGGCTGGAACCATTTTTACCATTCCCCCAGTGCACCTGAAGGAGTGAAAAGGGTCTTGACTTTTAAAAATATTTTTTTTTTAATGCATTTTTATTCTCCCTGATAAGATAACAGTATGGGTCTGGTTGTAAAGTTGGCATTCAAAATTGGAATCAGTTCACTTTAAATCCTTGTTCCGAAGTTGGAATCAGTTTACTTTTAAATCCTTGTTCCGAAATTGGAATCAGTTCACATTACATCCTTGTTTCCTTGATGCTGATCTAGCAGCATGCTTTGTCCTAAATTTCTTGTTGTTACCTTTCATTTTGAGTAAATGGAGCAGGCTAAGAGAGAGATCATGACGCATGTGCAACACATGGTCACTATAGCTGTTGGGGCTTTGTGCTAACAGCTGAAAACTGTCATCCAAAAAGATTGAAAGGTGCCAGTGAAATTATCAGTCATTGGCACAGAATATAAACCTGCAGTGTGTTGTCTTTTTATCCATTCTTCAGGGGCATTTATCTGTAGCACCATTTTAGACTTATTGAAAGATTGAAAAGACACTTCATGAGTCTATTGTGTAGAGAGTCTGAAAATGGTAACTAGTTCTTGGTCTTCGTTGTGGCATTCTGAATTTGTGTCTGAAATTGCTGGTGTTTAGAAAGCTTAAGTTGAAGTTGCAATTTTTCAGTTGTCTTTATTTTTTAATTGTTGTAGTATGCTGAATGTATATTTTCTGAAAGAAGTGGTGGTGTTTGTAGAGTTTGAAGTTACATTGTTACAATTCTCTCCATGTGTTGATTGTTGTATTCTGTACATGTAAATTTTCTGGAATTTCTGATGTTTGTAAAGCTTGAAGTTACAAGTGTAACAGCTTTCTCCATATTTTGATCGTAGTAGTATCCTTATTGTATAGTTTGTCTGAAAATGCTGGTGTTTGTAAAGCATGAAGTTCGTATTACAAATCTCTCTATATGTTGATCATTGTGGTATTATGAATGTGTATTTTGTCATTACAAAAGCTGATGTTTGTAAAGTTTTAAGTTCCAGTGTTATAAATCTCTCCATATGTTGATCATTGTGTTGTTGTTGTTGTTTTTTTTTTTTTGGTCCATTAAAATGCTGGTGTTTGTCATGTTTGAAGTAAAACATCTCTCCATTTGTTGATCGTTATGATTTTCTCAATGCATAGTTTGTCTTAAAATGCCGGAATTTGTAAAAGTTTGAAGTTACAATGTTAAAAATCTCTCCATATGTTGGTATTTATTTGGTTCCTCCTTGCTTACCACACTCTCAAGATCGCTGCAGTAAAATGTGGGTGAGCCTGAAAACCATGTAAATAATGTACATACATAAGTTAGGTCAGGTAATATATTTCACCTGCAGCTTCTAGGACATCCATGGGCTTTGTTCTCTTGGGTCGTCAACAGTCTCATTGATCCATGATTGAATTTCTTCCTTGTATTCAAATTTGGCATTTGCATATTGATTATAATTAAATTTTTGCTGGAAAATTAATTTATTGTTGTTTCTTTTTATCATACTTTTTTGGTTCCCTTTGGAAAGAAAGTCAAGTGAGGAACCTTTTTCCACGTCAGTGGCGGATGGGGTATATGATGTTAGACTCATATTTCTAGAGACCAATCGACTGTCTTTGAGAGATGTGGTCAACATCATGCTGGCCACCTTTACTTCCCATAACTTTACCTGGTACCTGGTACCCATTTTAGACTGGGTGGACCTGGAAGCCAAGGTCATTTTGGGATTTTAAAACATTTGGCACAGCGCAGATCCTTTCTTTTTGAAAGG